TCTCTCTCTCTCTATTTTTTCTGTATCTGGGGTAAGCAGTGACATAAAAGGAGAAGCTCCACCCAGCCTCCTTCTCTTTCCAGGGTCTCTGATGTGGGACATGCTCCGAGGGTCCTGCTCAAGTGGTTTTGAAAGTTCAACAGTTCTGAATTGCTGCTAGTCTCGCCATTCTAAGCAGGGTGAAATCTCTCCAGACTCCACTGGCTGACATAGTCCACCTTAGAGTCTCTCTGCCCAGATTTTCACTGCCAACACATGGCTGAGGTAGTTGATTGATTTGTCTGTCCTCCGTCCTCTATTTGGTACCAGGTCCTCTGCAGGTTCCGATGGACTGCCATATCCTCCATGTGCAGCTGGTATGCTAGCCACTGCTCCGTCTGAGCCACTGAGGAGGTTCAGCTGTGATACATGCACTCCATGGTTAGACCATGGAACCTGCACTTCTCTTCATTGTGGTTCTGAGATCTGCAGTTCAGTTGGAGGGATCCCCAAAGGTTTTGTCTGAAGTGATCCCAGACCTGATTCTTGTGTGTGCATGCCTATACAGGGTCTGTCACAGTCCGTTGTCTAACTCTTTCCTTTAGTCTTCCCCGTATACACAGCTCTGTTCCTCTGTAATTTATAGGATTTATTTGTAACACTCATGGGCTGGTTTGAATTAGTTTTTCCTTCAAGATTTTATTAAGAACTTTTACTAACACACAGCGAAGTTAATAGAATTTTGTAGTGGACACCAGTGTGGACATGTGTTGTACATAGATTATCAGTGTTGGAGTGCTTGCTATGTCATGTTCATCTGTCCAGTAGCTCTCCAGCTTTGTTCATTTGAAAGTGTCTTAGAGTTCGTTGCTTGTAGGTAAACCCTGATCTTTGCTTTGTAGTTTTCCATAAGAGGGATATATCTAACAATTGAGGCATCCTAAGTCCCTCATTGGAGTTCCTTGGTCTATTTCTTGGCTCTAGCTCTAATCCAGGTTGAGAAGAATCCTGCCTTGGGGAAGCTTATAAACTTGAGACATGCTGAGGGGGTTGGCATGATGCTTGGCAAAGCTGGGTGCCCAGGGAGGGGAGAGGGAATTGGAAGTAGACAACCAGTAAGTTACATTCCTCCCCCGTTGAGGAAGGAAGCATTTTGTGGGCTAACCTCAGGACTCTGGATTATATCTTAAGTAGTGTGACCCAGTGATGGTGTTTGCAGCTGCATTCCATCTGCATTTGAGGCAGATGGTTTTGAGAGCAGTAAAGAGGCTGGGCTGGAGGGCAGAGGTGCGGGGTCCTGGCTCCAGGGGCAGTGATTGGTGGGGAGGCTTAAGTCAAGGGAGGGACTGGCACTGGCAGGGCCAAGATGGCTCTAAGAAGCAGCTATACCATAGAAGGATAAGGAATGATCGAAAGTTCTGTAGTGTGGTCTACGCAACCCGGGCCCAGGGTGTGCAGGTGGTCTGGAGAGTGGCTTCGGCAGGCACCTTTTAAAGCCACAGTGAATAGGAGAAAAAGAGCATGCTCTCAGAAGGAGGTCTCATACCTTCCTTCTTCATCTGTGAGTGACTCACTGGAGGATCCAGACCGACTCCTCCTTTTGCAGATGAGAAGCTTCCAGTGTCACAGAAGTCTCACCATGTCAGACTTGGGACTCGAATCCAGTTCTTAATTTTTTTTTTTTAATTTTTTTTAAGCAGTTAGAGTTGGGCAATGCCAGGTTGAAGCCAGGACCTTGGAACTCAATCCAAGTCTGGTGTGTGACAAGGACCCTAGTACTAGGGCCAGCACCATTGCCTTCGAGGGTCTGTCTGAGCGGGCAGCCTGCTGGGTAGCAGAGGAGACACTCTGCTCTGGATATTGGCTTTCCCAGAGCAAGTCCGGACTCCAGTTCCTAACAGGAGCTCCAGGACTTGTACTTTGCTCTTCAGATTTGAAGCTGTTGTTTATAAAGTCTGCATTTGGCTGCAGAGGTTATTGTCAACTGAGTTAACATCTAGGGTTCAAACCAGTGGAACCCCAAAATATGGCATGGTTTAGGTCATAGACGTACAGGGAGTAGCAGCCAGAAGTGTCTTAAGACTTTTTAAAAAATGTTTAATTGTTTTAATTGGAAAGGGAGATTTACAGAAAAAAGATCTTCCATTTGCTAGTTCACTCTCGAATGGCCACAGTGGCCAGAGCTGAACTGATCTCAAGCCAGGAACTTCCTTAGGGTCTCATGTGGGTACAGAGGCCTAAGGATTCAGGCCGTCCTTGACTGCTTTCCCAGGCCATAAGCAAGAAGCTGATGGGAAGTGGAGCAGGCCAGACTAACCAGTGGTGCCCATATGAGGATGTCCGCACTGCCGGGGAAGGATTAGCTTATTGAGTCACTGTAGCTACCCCTCTCAGACTTTTTACTTCTTTTTTTTTTAAATTAAGCTTAGTTGCTTATCCCCAAATAGGTGGATGTTTAGTGTTTGTATTCATTTGGCCAGTGGCTCATTGAGTATCAAATGGCCTGTGCAAGTCTGTATTTCCCACCACTTTAGATGTCAGCAGAGGGCCTGGCACAGCATGGCATAGCAGCTAAAGTCCTCACCTTGAATGCACCAGGATCCCATATGGGCACTCGTTCTAATCCCAGCGGCCCCACTTCCCATCCAGCTCCCTGCTTGTGGCCTGGGAAAGCAGTCAAGGATGGCCCAAAGCCTTGGGATCCTGCACCTGTGTAGGAGACCCGAAAGAGGCTCCTGGCTCCAGATCGGCACAGCACTAGCTGTTGCGGCCACTTGGGGAGTGAACCATTGGACGGAAGATCTTACTCTCTGTCTCTCCTCCTCTCTGTATATCTGCCTGTCCAATAAAAATGCATAAATATTGGGCCCGGCGTGGTGGTGCAGTGGTTAAGGTCCTCACCTTGCACGCCCGGGATCCCAGGTGGGCGCCGGTTCTATCCCAGCAGCCCTGCTTCCCTTCCAGCTCCCTGCCTGTGGCCTGGGACCCTGCACCTGTGTGGGAGACCTGGAAGAGGCTCCTGGCTTCAGATCGGCATAGCATCGGCCGTTGCGCTCACTTGGGGAGTAAATCATCAGACGGAAGATCTTCCTCTCTGTCTCTCCTCTCTGTATATCCGCCTTTCCAATAAAAAAAAATAATAATAATAAATCTTTTAAAAATAAATAAATAAATATGAAAATATGTCAGCAGAATTTGAAATGCTAAGCCAAATGTGCTGCTTTATGCCAGGAAATCAGCTGGTTAAAACTTTAGAAATTTTAAATTATTTCCTCTTGGGCCCGGCGCGGTGGCGCAAGTGGTTAAGGTCCTCTCCTTGCACGCCTGGGATCCCATATGGGCGCCGGTTCTAATCCCGGCAGCCCCACTTCCCATCCAGCTCCCTGCCTGTGGCCCGGGAAGGCAGTCGAGGACGGTCCAAAGCTTTGGGACCCTGCACCCATGCGGGAGACCCAGAAGAGGCTCCTGGCTTCAGATCGGCATAGCATCGGCCATTGCGCTCACTTGGGGAGTGAATCATCGGATGGAAGATCTTCCTCTCTGTCTCTCCTCTCTGTATATCCGCCTTTCCAATACAAAAATAATAAAAATAAATCTTTAAAAAAATAATAAATAAATAAATTATTTCCTCTTAACAGTTGTCAGAATGTTTTCAGCTGCATTTAGTGGAGTTGGATGTGCAGTCACAACTAGGGAAGGTGTGGTCCTGGGGTCTAGCTGGGGTCTAGCTGGGGTCCTGGCCCAGGAGCCAGCCTTTAGCCTGCATGTGAATGATGCCTGGATTCAGTCTTGGTTCTGGCTCTCGGCTCTGTATTCTTGCTGGTATGGTGCCTGGGAAGCAGCAGTGATGCCTTAAGTGGTTAGGTTTGTGCCACCTACATGAGGAACCGGAATAGTTTGTGGCCCCAGCCCTTCTGGCCATTTGGTGGAACCAACTAGTGAATGGGGGCTATCTGTCGCTCATAAATGAAAGTTACTAAAATAGTGAGAGACAACAGCGTGTTTGTGGCTTGGGATGTGTGAAAGGCTAGACGTGCTCAGATTGTGGGGTACACAGTTGTGGTCCTGTGTTGGTGTGCAGCTTGGACTTGGCAGTACTGAAGCACCCAAAAAGTCTTGTGTGCCTGAGGGACGGAGGTGGGTGGTCAAGGAGGCTGGCATGATGGAGAGGTGGAGTTGCCTTAGCGAGAGGCAGGGTGTGCACGAATGTTGGGGAAAGGCTTTTTTTCGTTTTCAAGAGAGCTTCCCTGTGGATGGTGGAAGGCTTGCTGGTCTTGTATCTGTACCGCAGGAGTGATGTCTTGTTTTCATGTGGCTGGCTGAGCAGTGAGGTGGGCTGGTCTCATCACTAGATGGCTGGGAGTGGTGTGTTTGTGAAGGGAGGTGCCTACCTATGTTAGGGATGCTGACTTGAAGAAGCTGAGAAGGACCAGCTGGGCTCCTGGGTGCCATCCTGTAGAAGAGAGAGGTAATGAAGGTAATACTGGCTGCCTCTCCTGTGAAAAAGGCTAACAAGAGCCAAAGAACTCTGAAGGGACAGCCATCTTTCCCCTTTACTGGGTGATTGCTGGAGAGCGAGGAAGCCTGTGGCCGTGGCTCCTTGTGGTGGCAGATCTGGAGCCTTCATCTTCCACCCTGCCTCCTTGCCGTGGTACCGTTGTTGAAGCAATCGGTATTTTAAGATTAGGCTGCTGTCATAGTACTAGGCTTGAGGAGTTAAAAGCTACACTGGGAGTATTTTTGCATTCTGGCTGTGTAATTAGTAGTAGGAATGATACCACTTGAGCAGAAAAGTAGTGAGTGGGGTAGTTATGTTTGCGTTTTTAGTTGGGGGTTAATTTTAAGATTAATAACAGCTAAGATGTATTACTTGGATTTCTATCTTGTTGAGTTACAGCTTGCTTACTGTACAGTGTATGTGTGTGTGAATCATCTATGATGGTGATGCAGTTCAGGTAGCTTTGCTTGTCCTGTTCCTAGGCCACCGACCGGCTGAGCGCTGACCACATGTTCTTCTACAGGTTGGGGAGCTCACCCCTGAGCATGAGCGCAGAATGAAGCGGCGCTTGGATGACCCAGAGTCACCGGTGTATGCAGCCCAGCAGCGTCGGCTCCCTGGCGGCACCGAGGCCTTTCCGCACCAGCACCGAGTGCTTGCCCCTGCCCCTCCAGTGTATGAGGCTGTGTCTGAGCCCATGCAGTCGGCCACAGGCATTCAGTACTCTGTGACTCCGAGCTACCAGGTAAGCCAGCCAGCTGGGGTGTGGGAGTGGCCAGCGGGTTCCTTTTTGTTAAACAATGATTCTGATAAAAAGAGTTTCTGGGATAGATTTAAGGTATAACGAGACACTGAAACCCTTTCTCATAAGGTAAAAGAAAGGCCTGTTGTTGCACCTTTAAAATACATAGTGAGTCCCTCCCTGCAGAGGTGGCCATAGACTAAGCTTTGGACTAATTGTTCTTCTTTCTTACTTCTGGTTTCCCTCATTTTTGTTCTATCTGAGTCATGTAATAGTTGAACTGGGCCATTCTTGAGATTGTATGTAAATGGAAGCGTGTAGTTATTGCAGCCACAGTCTCGTCAGTTTCTGTTACTATAAATTACATGAATACCCCGTGTATTGGACTGTCCTGTTGGACTGTTGCATGGCTTTTCCAGTTACTGTTGTGAACCTCCTGCACTCATGTCTCATTACACAGTGATATGTACGTCAAAACATGAGCCTCCCCCCTGGGTTTAAGTCAGCTTACCAGGAGTTGGACTGGCTGTGCTTATTAGCGAAGTCACTGCTTTCCATCATCACATAAACTGTCTAGTCACAGAACACTCTGCAGGTTTGAGGACACACAAGAGTGTCTTGAGCATTTGAGAGAGGGTAGCTGGACCAGAGGTGAGCATCTTCAGCAGGAAGTGCCTTTTCTTTTAAAAGGTTTATTTGGAGGCCAGCACCATGGCTTAGTAAAGCAAAGCTTCTGTCTGCAATGCTAGCACTTTACAGGCTTAGGGCTTAACCTACAGTACTACTATGCATCCCCTCAGGGAATGCCTTTTTGGAATTGTCCCGATGTAATTTAAACACTTTTTTTGTTTGTTTTTTTTTTATCTGTAAGATAAAAAGAGAGATTGTCCATCTCTGGTTCATTCCCCAAAGACTGCCACAGCCAGCACTGGCAGCTTGCCTGGTCTGCCACGTGGGTGGCTGGGGCCTGAGGACTGGAGTGTTCCCAGGTTGCTTTCCAGGTGCATTAGCAGGGGACTGAATCAGAATTGTGCCGTTTGAGACTTCATTTGTTGTTTTCCTTTTTTTTTTTTTTTTTTGCCATGTGAAACTTCAGGGCATCCTGAGATGGGGTGCTGGCATCTCAGATCGTGTCAGCCTGCTGCCCCGTGCCATCTCCCCCTAGTGTAGATTTTTGCAAGTATTGCACATTCCTTTTGCTTCACGTCCTCATCCACATTAGTCTTTCATTTCTTGTCAGTTCATTCTCTCTTATAGAAATGGGAGGGAGGATTATCTTTTCATACTCTGATTTACTCTCCAAGTGCCTACAACAGCCGAGGCTGAGCTAACCTGGACCAGGACTCCAGAATTCTACTTAGACTGTCATATATGTGGCAGGGATCCAAGTACTTGGGCCATCATCTGCTGCCTTCCCAGGTACATTATCAAGAAGCTAAATCAGAAATGGAGCTGCTGGGCCTAGCACGATGACTCAATAGCTAAATCCTTGCCTTGTAAGTTCCACTTCCCATCTAGCTCCCTACTTGGGGCCTGGGAAAGCAGCAGAGGATGATTCAAAGAGGTGGGAGGAGGCTCCTTGCTCCTGGCTTCAGATTGGTTCAGCTCCAGCCATCGTGACCATCTGGGGAGTGAACCGGTAGATTGTCTCAGTCTCTGTGAATCTGATCTACCTTTCCAATAAAAATAAATTTAAAGAAAAGAAAGAAATGGAGCTACTGGGATTCGAACTGGCACTCTGATAGGAGGTGCTTGTCAAGTGGTGCCTGAAACATTGCTATAATGGCCATCTCAGCATCAGATTTTCTTTTTTAAAAGATTTATCTATTTTTATTGGAAAGGCAGATTTACAGAGGGAAAGGTCTTCAGTCCACTGGTTCATTCCCCAACTGGCTGTAATTGACTGTGTCTGGGAGCCAGGAGTTTCCTCTGAGTCTCCCACACACAGGTGCAGGTTCCCAAAGTTTTGTGCCATCTTCTGCTGCCTTTTTAAGGCCACAGGGAAGGGGCTATATAGGACATGGAACAGTCAGGGCACTAACTGGTGTCCATATGGGATTCTGGTGCATGCAAAGTGAGGATTTAGCCACTAGGCTATTGCACCTTGCTGCACTGCATTATTTGAGTGCTGTTGTTTAATATTCTATTTCAGGTATGTCTCAACCATAATTTAACTGGCCAAGAGATATTTTGTCCTCATTTATTAGTGAGTTTTAAAAATATGTAGCTGATCCTAGTACCTATAAAACTGTGTCCCATAATGCAGTGCAATTATTTTTTTTAAAAATGTAGCTGGTTAACAAGAGTTGAGGTGCCCAAACCCTAGATTGGAGTGCCTGAGTTTGATTTCTAGCCCTAGCCTTAGCTCATATCTCCAGCTTTCTGGCATTACAGGCCCTATGAGGCTTTGGTGATGGGAGACCTAGATTCCCACCATCCAACTCAGGTTCAGGCTTTAAAATCTATTACACACTGCTTTGTAAAATGGTATGTATGGACCAGCATGATGACTCAATTGGCTAACCCACTCCCCCCACCACCAAGTGCTGGTTCGTGTTCTTGGCTGCTCCAGTTCCCCTCCAGCTCCCGGCTAGTGGCCTGGGAAAGCAATGGAGGATGCCTTAAACCCACATGGGAGACCCTGAAGAAGCTCCTGGCTCCTGACTTTGGGTCAGCTCATTGCTGGCCATTGAGGGCACTTGAGGAGTGAGCCAGCAGACAGATCTTTTTGTCTCTCCTCTGTAAATCTGCCTTTCCAATAAAATAAATCAGAAAAAAAGAGAGAGAGAGAAAGAGAAAAGAAAACAGTATTTAGGAGCTGTTATAGCAATTGCTTTTCCTAATACCTGTAAAATCTAATAATGAAATTCATGAGTTTATGTATTGTCATTGTAAATCTTTTCACTGTCTTGTAAAATCAATTGGCTGGGACCACCAGTGTGGTTTAGCAAGTTAAGCCGCTACCTGTGATGCCAGTATCCTATATGGGCCCTGGTTGAAGTCCCAGCTGTTTTACTTCCTATCTGGCTCCCTACTAATGTGCCTAGGAAAGCAGCTGAGCATGGCCAAAGTGTTTGGGTTTCTGCATTCATGTGAGAGTCCTAGATGAAGCTCCCATCCAGTCCAGTCCCGGCTTTTATGGTTATCTGGGTAATAACCAGGGGGTGGAAGCTTGATCTGTATTCTGTATTCTGTAACTCTTTCAAGTAAATAAATAAATCTCGAAATGAAATAAAATGAAAAGTAGTAGGTTGTGATGGTTTGGAACTAAAAAAAAAAAAAAGGCCATCACACAGTCTGAGAAGCACTGAGTTTCTTTTGTTTGCTTGTTTGTTTTTTCTTTTTATCTTCTTTTTAAGATTTATTTTTATTTTTTATTGGAAAGGCAGATATACAGAGAGGAAGATCTTCTGTCCGATGGTTCTCTTCCCAAGCGGCCGCAATGGCTGGAGTTGAGCCAATTTAAAGCCAGGAGACAGGAATCTCCTCCAGGTCTCCCACACGAGTGCAGGGTCCCAAAGCTTTGGGCTGTCCTCGACTGCTTTCCTTCACCGCTTTCCCAGTTCAAAAGCAAAGAATTGAATGGGAAGTGCAGTATCTAGGACACAAACTCGTGTTCAAATAGGATTCTGCACTTAGAGATGGAGGATAAGCCAATTGAGCCAGTGCATCAGCTGCCATCCTGTATCTCTTTTGAGAGGAAGGGACCCAACTGGCTGAGCCATCACTGCCTCCCAAGACTGCATTAGCAAACAGCTCGTTTCAGGAGCCTAAAGCAGCTGTGAAATCATGATGCTCAATAGTACACAACAAGGATGTCCTAGGCCAGATGTCCACCTCACTGTTGTTTTGTTTTTTAATTTTTTTTTAATTGGAAAGTCAGATATACAGAGAGAGGAGAGACAGAGAGGAAAATCTTCCATCCAATGGTTCACTCCCCAAGCTGCCAAAACGACTGGAGCTGTGCCATTGCGAACCCAGGAGCCAGGAAGTTTTTCCAGGTCTCTCACACAGGTGCAAGGACCCAAAGCACTGGGCCGTCCTTGACTGCTTTCCCAGGCCCCAAGCAGGGATTTGGATGGGAAGCAGGGCTGCTGGGATTAGAACCGCGTCCATATGGAATCCCGGGCATGCAAGGCGAGGACTTTAATCACAACGCCCAGTGTGTTAAGTTTTAATATCTATAAAGATGTCTATTGTAATATGGGTGGAGTATTATTTGACTCTTTGTGGACTGTTTGGATTTCTCAGTAAGTACTCTTGCACAAGAACAATGTGTATTGGTGTTCTTTTTCTACTGAGTTGTACAGGGATGCACCAGCCTTGAATTGTCATGTGTGTTCTGTCCTTCCCAGGTTTCTGCTGTGCCACCAAGCTCTGGGAGCCATGGGCCTGCCATGGCAGCAGTTCACAGCAGCCACCATCACCCGGCGGCGGTGCAGCCCCACGGAGGCCAAGTGGTACAAAGTCATACTCACCCAACCCCACCAGTTGCACCAGTACAGGGGCAGCAGCAGTTCCAGAGACTCAAGGTGAGACTGCTCCTTTCCTGGGTCTGACGTTGTCCGTAGGCAGTAGTGACTGCAGCCTATTAGTTGTAGTTGTGGAATCCCATCACAAGAAGTGTTGCCTTTGCTGTTGTTTGGAAACCCGCACTGAGTTCCCATCTTGGCACTCGGGCGTGACCCAGAGAACACTGGAGAAGTACACGTGATGTGTGATGTACGATTCTCAGCATTTCAGGATGAGGGGCTCTTTTGAACAACCATTTGAACTTGAACTATTTTACAGGTTTCATTGAGGGCACACATGAGCGGTTATATACCCGTGGGCATGTCAGCACAGTAATCTTGTGATTTAATCTTTTCTCTTGTTTATGGAAAAAGTTGAATTGGCTAGCAGTCAAGTCCTTGCTTAGTAAAACACTAAGGTGAAACTCCTCCTTTAGGAGGAGCCTCCATGATAAAGTGTGAGTGAAGCGTGTGTCTTCTGTCTGTTGGTGAATAGCTGCATTGGGTATTGGGCTGTTCCTGCAGTGTCTGCTGGAGTGCCACTGTGATGGTTCCAGCTCTCTTCTCACTTGACTTTCCTTTTTAAAATGTGATTGTTGTCACAAGCATTCTAGGTTTCCTTTTTTTCTGATTTTTCATTTGTTTAGTTAGTTAAGCTGCAAAGATGTGTTTGGGGAGAGGGGCAACTATGTGGTATAGCAGGTGATGCAGCCCCGTACAGCGCCAGCATTCTCTATGAGCACTGTTTCAAGTCCTGACTGCTCTGCTTTTATTCCACCTCTGTACCTACATTGAAAACTCACAAAAAGCTTCTGGCTCCTGACTTAGGACTGGCACACCTCCAGTTTTTACAGCCATTTGGGGAGTGAACCAGCAGATAGAATCTTAAAGATTTATTTATTTGAAAGGTAGTTACGAAGAGAGGAAGAGAGACAAAGGTGATGGATGTTTCCATCCACTGGGTCACTCCCCAAATGGCTGCAATAACTGGGGCTGGGCTAGACCAAAGCCATGAGCTTTATCTGGGTCTCCCATGTGGATGCAGGGACCCAAGCACTTGGTTATTCTCTGCTGTTCTGCTAGATACATTAGCAAGGAACTGGATTGGAAGTGGAGCAGTTGGGACTTGAACCTGTGTTCATATGGGATGCTGACATGATAGGCAGTAGCTTTACACACTGTGCCGCATTCCTGTAACTCAGGATACTGCTTTTTTAGGCACAATATCGGGGTGCTGGTCTGCTATACCACAGTGCTGTCTCTATTTGCATACAATTTTAAATTGAATGCAGAAAATACGAAGAACTGTAAGGAGACATTAGATTGCCATTGATTCTGTCAGCCAGATCATATCACTTTGTTGGCGGGTGGGCAGGAATGTTCACCTTGTGTTTGTTGTTCCGTCTTTTATTTTTGCTGATGCACTTGGTCTTCACCTATCTAACAGTAAGGCATAGTGTGGGAAATTCTAGAAATAATTATTAATTTTAAATGTATGAGAGCTATTCTGGCTGGTGTGACTGCTGCTTCCAGACTGGGATGTAAGCCCTTCCTCATTCCGACATATCCACAATGGAGAGCACTCTCAGTTGTCAGTATGACTATGACTGTGTCACAGTGCTTGTCCACCAGTCCTGTGTGTGTGTGTGTGTGTGTGTGTGTGTGTGTGTGTGTGTGTGTGTGTGTTATTGAAAAGTCAGATATACAGAGAGGAGAGATGGAGAAAAAGGATTTCCATCTGCTGATTGACTCCCCAAGTGGCTTCAAAGACTGGGGCTGAGCCAATCCGAAGCCAGGAGCCAATAGCTTCTTCCAGGTCTTCCACATGGTTGCAGGGTCCCAAGGCTTTGGGCTGTTCTCTACTGCATTCCCAGGCCTCAAGCAGGGCCTGGGTGGGTAATGGAGCATCCGGGACAGTAACCAGCACCCATTATCTCAAAGTAGAAGGATTCTGGTGCTGGTAACCTGGGTGTATATTAGCTGGGGGAATGTGAGCGTGCCTTACTTCATGAAGAGAGAATAAATGGTCTGCTGTAGTTGCTAAGATGCATGGTAAGTTACTGTTCATCTCACTGCATCTGGTATGATAGTAGCTTTTAGTCACTGGAATGAATCCTTGAGAGAAGCTGCTTCCAGAAGGAAGGAGGAACACTTGGGCTGTCTGTTGTGCTGGTTCTCAGTTTTAGGTCAGCAGTCCCACAGCTCTGCCCTCTAATGCAGCTGATGGGCCTGAGCGGAGGGAGGACCAAATGGCCAGTTAAGAGGGCCCACAGGGCCTGGCCCTACCACCCCTCTCTAGAGATGGTGCTCCTCACCGTGATGGTGTGATAAGGTTTCACCTTCTACTGGTAATAATACCCTGAAGCAAAGTCCTTCACACGTGGGCCCTGGGCAGACATCCAGACAGCAGAGGTTGCATAGGAGAAAATGGTATGCATATGTTGGGAACTCTTCTGTCAGATGTGTTAGTGGGAATCCTGGCACTCACTCCATAGGGATAAGGGGACTAGTTCTCTCTGCTCCCTGTTGTCACTGGTTTGGTTCTCAGAAACTGGTTTAATAATAGGCCTAAGAACATCAAGTGCTAAATAAAGTTAAACGATCTTCATAATATGTCTTAGGAAGATACACAGCTCACTATTGTCTTCATTTGGTTTTGAAAGACTTATTTAAAACAGTAATACACAGATTTCCCCATACGCTTGTTCTCTCCAAATGGCCACAGTGGCTGGAATTGGACCAAGCTGAAGCTGCAGCCTGGCTTCAGGGTGTTTTTCTACATGGGTCCTAGGGACCCAGCACTTGGTTCATCCTTGGCTGCTTTCCCAGATGCATTTGCTGGATGCTGAATCCTAAGTGGAATAGCTGGAACTAAAGAACAAGAACTCTGATATGGGATGCTGGCATTGCAGTCGGTGGCTTAACCCACAACACCATAATTTCAGTCCCAATTTTGTTTTTCCATGATCTTTTTCCGACATACCCTGAACAAATTAAAACTTGTCTTAAGCATAGTCTCTAAAATGGGGTAGAAATGAGGAGCTGGATTTGTGGAATAAAGGTTCAAGTCACAGCCTGTGACATCAACATCCAATGAGTCTTGGCTTTTCTACTTCTGTTCTAATGCTTTCCTGTAATGCTCCTGGGAAAGTAGTGGAATATGGCCCAGATACTTGAGCCTCTGTGCCACGTGGGAGACCTGGAGGAAGCTCCTGGCTTCAGCCTAGCCGAGCCCTGGCCATGGCGACCACTTGGAGAGTGAACCAGCAGGTGGGAGACCGTCCTCTCTGTCTTTCTCTCTACCTCTCCTCTGTCTCTCTACATGTGTGTATGTGATTCTGCCTTTCAAATAAGTAAATTAAAAAATAATAATAAGTAAATATAATCTTATAAATAAGCAGAAATTATTAGACCTTTGGGGAGGTCTGTGCATGGCATGCTGACACTATCTTTAAGCCATTTCACTTTGTGCCTGTGGAATGGAGCTGTGAACTTAGCACTTTACCAAGTCTTGAAAATAGTCTGTACAAACTTGGTTTGGTGTTTAATTCTGTAGTATGTTCAGTAGATAATCTTTAAACTTGCTGGTAGATATTAGAGATTTTGTGGCTTCTTGACCCTTTGGTTAAAATGAGGTGAACTGTTGCAGGTTTCTTGCAGCAAGAGCTGTGGAAGTAGCAGCTGTGCCTAACTCTGTCCTCCAAGGAGTCTGGGGTGGGTGGATGCCCTCTTGTGTCAGATTTCCTGGCAAGGGAGGCTTTGGCCATGGGGTGCTGGAGTGCACTTCAGGTAGGATTAGAGTTCCTGGTTGTGTCCCTAAGGAGAGGTGAAGTGCTGCTTGTGCCATGTGAGGGTTAGCCCCGTGCCCCATGTCCCGTGCTGTGCTGCCTGCCATTTGGGGATCAGGTGTGAAACGTCTGAAAGCATTTGTGTGAGTTTCCATAAGCCTTTGCTGTTCTGTAATCGTGAAGTGAGAATACTGAGTTTTGCTGAGTGTCAACATTGTCCGTACTTTTTGTGTTTGGCAGATAGTGACAAGGAGGGATTTGAATAATTTGAGGCATGTTTATGATTCTGATATTTGTTTTATGCCAGCAGCGTTGGCACGTATTTGTCAAGTTCTGTTGCGCTTGGTTCCCTAGCAAGATCGCAGGCTTGAGGTTCTTAGCTTGCGGAGGTTGTAAATGACCTGTGCACAGGAGCGGGGGCAGGCAGCTGGCGTAGGCTGAGGTTCTTCTCGGAGCTTCGCTGCATCTCTGCTCTGCTGTCTTCCTCTCGGTCGGCATTCTTGCAGCTGTGTAGGTGCTTTTGCCAAGAGTTGCACCTTACTTTAGGAAGTTAGAGAATTCCCTCATTGCCCTCACATCAGGTATCTCACTTAGAATTTGTCTCTCCTGCTGGGATTTTAAAACATTAAACAAGGACTTCTATGAACTTTCTTTATATTGTACATAATTCCTGCATTTGGATTTTTATTCCTTTTCTCTCAACAGTAGTTTTACTATATTGTGCTTGTTTCTTTTTGGCTAAGAGTAACTTGAAAGGCAGAGAAAGAGGAAGAGATGCACAGAAGCTTCCCCACAAAGGGCCACACCAGCCCGGAGTGGGCTAGATGAAACCCACGTCCCTAGAGTTAGCCCGGTCTCGCACGTTGATGGCAAGGTTCAGGCACTTGGCCCATCTGCTGCCGTCTTGCCTGGTGCCTTAGCGGGGAACTGGATGGGATGCTGGTATTGCAAGCTGTGACTTAACTTTCTGTACCTGTTTATTTTTGATAGCTCTTCCTTTGTCATGTGATGGTGAATTTTGAAATACCTCTCAAGATCTTTGTTCCTTATGCAAGCTTCATGAGTTTATGTTCAAACAGCTTGACTGTTTAAAAAAAAAATATTCCGGTGGCCTTCAGTAGAAATTCACATTTTACAGATACATGTAAAATCTGGAAAAAATGTATCAAACAGGGGGGCATTGACCAGGTATACAGTCTGTAAAGAAACACTTTGACCATGTGACTGTGTTTAAAGAAACACTGACCATGGCTGTGACTGAGTTTAGATGGGTGTTGTGGCATAATGGGTTAAGATGCCACTTAGAACACCTGTATCCCATATAAAAGTGGTTGGAATGAAGCCCCACCTCTGCTTCCAATGTAGCTCCTTAAGTACTGAAGTCCTTGCCACCCATAGGGACACCCACATGGAGTTCTCCTGATACCTGCCAGGCCTAGCCACTACTGCTGGACTGAGAGATCTTCAATCTGCTGGCTCCTGAAGTCTGGTGCTTGGGATTCTGATCTCTTGTCTTCAGGGTTTGCATTAACTGGAAGCTGGGATTGGGAGTGAAGCTGGCTTGTAAGAAGGCACTCTGAAACCCAGGGGGTGTGGGCTTCTGAAATACTGTTTGGGACCAGTGCTGTGGTATAGCAGTTAAAGCTGCTGGTGTACGACATCAGCATCCCTTATGAGCACCAGTTCGAGATCCTGCTTCTCCACTTCTGATCCAGCTCCCTGCTAATGCTCCTGGAAGAGAATCAGAGGATGGCCTGAGTGCTTGGGCCCCTACTCACACTAAGGAGACTGAAAGAAGTTCCTGGCTCCTGGCTTCTAGCTGGCCCAGACTTTGCCATTAAGAGCAAAAGAAAGACTTTATCTTTGTTAGTGCTGATTTATCAATAAAAATTGGCTTCTCAGAGGTTTGGAGGCTGGGAAGTGCAGGATGCAGGCATCAGCATGTTTGGTGGGGGAGGCCTGGTTCCTGCCAGCCCTTTAATTCCCCAACTCATGCACGTGCTTGCCACCCTGCCCACCCCTAACCTAGTGGTAATTCATTGTTGGCATTCTCATCTGGGATGCTTTCACGCCATGTCTCATTTGCTAGGGTATTTGAACACACATGTTTCATAGCATGATCACAGGAGTGTGTCTTGTATTAAATCATGGTTCTAACACTTTCTTGAACTTTGTGCTTTATTTTAAGATACTTATTTAAGGACTTATCCCAGAATATAGGGAGAAAGCTAGTGGGTGTTTTCATTGTCCTAAATCCCACACATCACTTTAAGGCCCTTCAGGCCTGCCCTCTTCTGGTTCTTTGAAGCTTGAGTTTTATTACTGACATTCTCACCAAGTTTTAATGCTTTTTGTTTCATTTATCACTTAAGATTTTTAGGCATAAACTGTTTTCTGTAGTTCTTAGTTTATTTCCTCTTTGTAACTTTTTTATCTCTGCCACAGGTAGAGGATGCACTTTCCTACCTGGACCAGGTGAAGCTGCAGTTTGGCAGTCAGCCTCAAGTCTACAATGATTTCCTTGACATCATGAAGGAATTTAAATCTCAGAGGTAAAAGACACCTTGTGCTCCAGCTTTGTGCTTGGTGTGCTGCTTTGTGAGGGATGATGTAGCTTAATTTTTTTCTACTGGAAAAGAAAGGATCCCCTTTGAAAATTTTTGTTATTTGAAGGAGAGACCCAAGAACTCTGTTCACTGATTCACTCCCCCAGGGCAGTGCTGCAGCAGCTGGGCCTGGGCCTGGGCTGGGGTTGGCCATGGCTGAAGCCTGGGATCCTGCTGAGCCTTCCTGCCACCTCCTTAGGTGTGCGTTAATATAGCTGGCACTGGGCTTTGATGCCCAAACTTGGATGTGCACCATGGGCATCTTTAAGATTTATTTTTATTATTTTTTTATTGGAAAGGCGGATATACAGAGAGGAGAGACAGAGAGGAAGATCTTCCATCCGATGATTCACTCCCCAAGTGAGCGCAACGGCCGATGCTATGCCGATCCAAAGCGGGGAGCCTCTTCCGAGTCTCCCACACAGGTGCAGGGTCCAAAGCTTTGGGCCGCCCTCGACTGCACCGGCGCCCATATGGGATCCCGGGCGTGCAAGGCGAGGACCTTAACCACTTGCGCCACTGCGCCGGTCCCACAACTTGGGCATCTTAACTACTAGGCTGAAAACCTGCCCAGAGCTCCCTTTTTCTTTTTGAGTGCTGATTTTTTTGTGGTCCTGCCTTTGTATTATATATTGCTTTATGGCTGGGAGCTTTCTTCCTATTGGTAAATTTTTCTCAGTGATTAATCAGGTAAGCGGTGATGGCTATAATTTTGACTCCTGAGTTTTCACTGGCTTCAGATACTGCCTTAGATACTGCCTTTCTCTTTAGTTCTTGCCTGTTACTCTGGCATGGTTCCCTGTAGTTAGGAGTAACTCACCTGCACACCAAGTGAAGGATTTATACTGCTGTGTCAAAAGGTGACTTGGCTTGGAAACTGCAGCTTTGATTCACTGGCTCTGCATGGTGAGATTGTGAGCCACAAATATTTCTGTTTGAAATGGTGGCCAAGTCTGGATCCACAGCTTGTGTGTCACAGAAGCAAGTCAACTTGTATATGTTTTCCTGTGCAGGGAAAACCTAGTGGGAATGAAGTGGCTTTTTAAATTTTATTGTATTATTACTTATCTATTTTGCCATCCTTTGCTTTTCCTCTGTTTTGTTTTGTTTTTAATCAGCATTGATACTCCAGGAGTGATCAGTCGTGTCTCCCAGCTCTTCAAAGGCCATCCCGACCTGATAATGGGCTTCAATACCTTCTTGCCCCCTGGCTACAAAATTGAGGTGCAAACCAATGACATGGTGAATGTGACAACTCCTGGCCAAGTTCATCAGATCCCCACACATGGCATACAGCCACAGCCACAGCCACCACCCCAGCATCCTGCCCAGCCTTCAGCACAGTCTGCCCCAGCTCCTGCCCAGCCAGCTCCTCAGCCGCCACCTGCCAAAGTCAGCAAGGTGAGCCTTTGAGAAACATTGCCTCACATGGTGTGTGTGTTTTTCAAAAGTGCCTGCCACTGATACCTGCCCTTCGGACAGATTTCTTGAGCAAAGACACAGCAGTCACATTTATACACAACATACTTGGATATCTGTTGAACACATTAGCAGCCTACAAGGACGCTTGTCCCCAAGTCCTACTCATAATACCCACAAGCTTCTCAGCAGGTGTGGGCTTCCTGCAGCACGGCACACATGGTCAAGATGCAGTGCTGTCCACATGGCATCAGAAATGGTACTATATTACCCAGGCTAACTGAAGTCAAGCTGAGCACTGCACTGTACCGATAGAACAGTCTCTTGGCTTTGAACTAGAAAGAATCCAGTATTTTGGTTGCACTGGCTGCATTTCCAGGGTTCAGTATCCTGGCAGTGTTACAAGGTTGTGCAGGTGTAGACTTGCCCCTTCATCTCAGAGTAGGCTGGGATAGAGGTGGTCTAGAAGTTCTTACAATGTGGATTTACTCCAACAGCTGAGGGCTTGTTTGTCTACATAGAAACAGGGCGATGGGGTTTGTGTTAGAGAGCGTAAAGATTGCATATGAAAAATTCTTCCCTGTAACTGGAGGTGGCTCCAGCTTTAAGGTTGTATTTAGAAGATTCGAAAGTGAGCTACTTGGCGTCTCAGGGTGTGATCCCTCACCTTGCCCAGTGTGACTTGAGTTGGGCTCACATGACATGGTCTGAGTCAGCAAAGGATGTAAGTGCCTTTAGATACTGCCTTTCTCTTTAGTTCTTGCCCCTGATCAAACACCATGTGTGCTCCTGAGGAGTATAAAGACTTTTCTCTTTTCAGCCTTCCCAACTGCAAGCACATACTCCAGCCAGTCAGCAGACTCCCCCACTCCCACCATATGCATCCCCACGCTCTCCACCGGTCCAGCCTCACACACCAGTGACAATCTCGTTGGGAACGGCCCCATCTTTGCAGAACAATCAGCCTGTGGAATTTAACCACGCCATCAACTATGTGAATAAGATCAAGAACAGATTCCAGGGCCAGCCTGACATCTACAAAGCCTTCCTGGAGATTCTGCATACTTATCAGGTCAGAGGCTGCCCTGTCCATTCCCCGTAATCCCTGGCTGCCCTCTCGCGGGCATCTAGTCCAGGGGCTTGGAATATTATTGTGCTCATCAATTTTTACCAGAAATTAACCACTGAGGAACTAGGATTTGTGATTATGGAGCCAGTGTTTGCCTGAATTGGACACACTGTAGATCCCCTTAAGGATTTTGCAGTCACTGTCCTGTGAAATAAATGCCTGTTTGGGAAGTTTGGAGAAGCATTTATATAATTAAATTAATTTACAGAAGGAGAAATGTCTCAGATATTTCCATTTACTACTGTAGTTTTTGTTTTGTTTATATGAAAAGCAGAGAGACAGAATGAGCAAATGAGCATGCAATCTTCCATTTACTGGTTCACTTCCCAGGTGGCCACAACAGCCAGATTGGTTGAGCCAGGCCAAAACCGGGAGCCTAGGATCCCTTTAGGGTCTCCCACATGAGTGGTAGTGGCCCAGGTACTAGGGTCATCCCAGGTACGTTAGCTGGGAACTGGATCGGAAAAGGAGCAGTTGGGACACAAACCAGCACTTTGGTATGGATGCGGCATTGCAAAAGGCTACTTTGTATTAACTGCTGTGCCACAACACCGGCCCTGCTGCACTAGTTTGAAAAGGAATTGTTATCCACCATCTTCTTGTTTCTCACCTTAAAAGCCTACTGTCACAACAGGTGCTAGCAGTATAGGCGTTACTCTCACAGGCAGCCTTGAGTCAAGACCAGGATAGAACCTTATCAAACATTCCAGAAAGTGAGCAGAGGTGTGGTTCAAAACAGTGCTCGGTAATAACAGCTTTTTTGCATTTGCACTTCCTCAGAAAGAGCAACGAAATGCCAAGGAAGCTGGAGGCAGCTACACTCCAGCGCTCACAGAGCAGGAGGTGTATGCACAGGTGGCTCGTCTATTCAAAAACCAGGAAGACCTGCTGTCCGAGTTTGGACAGTTCCTCCCAGATGCCAATAGCTCCGTGGTGAGTTTCACTTGGATGTAGCACTATTGGATGGGTTGGAAAACTTGTCAGGGCTCCCAACCTGATGACACTTTCTTGCTCTGATCAGAATGTTAATCTCTTCCATGTGTCTTCATCAGCTTTTAAGCAAAACAACAGCTGAGAAGGTTGATTCGGTGAGGAATGACCATGGAGGCACCGTCAAGAAGCCCCAGCTGAACAACAAGCCGCAGAGGCCAAGCCAGAACGGCTGCCAAATCCGCAGGCACTCGGGCACAGGAGCCACGCCGCCAGTAAAGGTGCCGATGGGGGGTGGGCTGCAGCTGCTCTGCTGGACTCCATGAGCAGTCCTGGTGGGCTGGCCTGAGCGGGTAGTCTTGGGTTCTTGGGAACATGTGGACAGTTGGAGCCTGGGTATCCACAGCATGTTAGTGTGTGTCAGCTGAGTGCTGGGCTTGGCTTTTAGTGGGTTATAGTGCCTTTGAGGGTTCTTCCCGGGTTTCCTGTAGTATCGCTCTTGCTGTGAGTTCTGATTTCACTCTCGTTTTTGTTTGCAGAGGGCATCTGACTGAGGCTTAGTAATTTTTCCTTCTGCTTGATAATTGCTTCAGATGCAGTGGGGTCATTTTATAGGTGAAAGACTGTATTCGGCTCAGTCTGCTCTATGAGCCTGTCATGGCTAGTGTTTGGAAAAGAATCTAGGTTGACAGATCTTGCCTGTTTAATGTTGCTCTCCAAGGCAAGACCGGTTGGCTATTGCCGAGGAGGGTCTCACATTCCCATTAGGGACAAGCCATCAAGTATACGTGTTGTGGGCATAAATGCTGACCACCTGCTTCCGTGCTGCAAGCCAAGCCAGTTCCTTTCTATGGCAGAGCTCATCCGTGACAAGTGGTTGAGTACTGTATTTTGCAGCCTGTCTGTAGCATTCAGTTAGTGACAAAAGCTGATGTGTGATTGTAAGCCATGGCCAGGAACAAATGAATGACTTGCAGGGACTAACAAATTCAAGGTTACTGGGGCTTTGGCGGACCCTGTTCTCCTAGTTTGCAATGTGTTCTCTTAATTGGTTTAACAATCACAGTTTGTGAGTCCTTACGTCAGGCAGTCGTGCTGAGTACACAGGCTTCCAGGACATGCTCAGCCCCCTCCGAGCTCTGCTGCCTCTCACTGGACGCCCTGCAGTGGAGCAGTCCTCAGCAGGCTTGGGCTACCAGCTAGCTTGTGTGCCCGGGTAGCCACCAGCAGTATGTGCCTTTCCTCTTAGAGGTTTTATAGTGAATTCTCCCAAAAGGGATGTGTCCCTGTCTGCTCACTCCTTTTAAAAGAATATCATTCATGTGAGTGTGCACTGCTGACAGATTGTTGACCTTCCTGTTAGGAAAACCGTGCTTTTTTTTTTTCATGAGCTTCCTCAGTGAAGTTTCAAAGGTTCAAGGCTGCTGTGTGCCTTCTCTATATAAATGACCTCCTCTCCCACAGCAGGTAGGTTGTGTACAGTTCTGCATTGAATCACTTGGGCATCTAGTAAAAGGAAGAATATTCTGAAAGTTTGATACAGTAGTTCTGGGACTGTTACTGAAGGGAACTTCTAGGGAGAAGAATGACCTGAAAACTTGAGAAAGGTGCCGACAGGCAAGCTAAAATAGGGAGATGTAGGGGGAGTTGATGACTAGAATGTTTTCATTTGTTTCCTGTTATTAATCAACACTGGTAATAAACAGAAGAAAGTAAGAAACTGACTCACATGTTTATATTTTTCCTTCTTTGCAGAAAAAGCCTAAACTGCTCAACCTAAAGGACTCTTCAATGGCAGATGCCAGCAAACATGGTGTGGGGACGGAATCCTTGTTTTTTGATAAGGTGAGCAGTGATTGAATTAGATTTAAAAAGAAGTGATGCCAAAAGGATAATACCCTTTCTGAATAAGGTGTTATTTTAAAGGTATTGAGCTGATTAAGATTTTGTGTTTGTAAATATTTATTTGAAAGAGTTAGAAGGAGAGACCGGGATCTTCCATGTACTGTCCCAGATAGCTGCAGCAACCAGGGCTGGGTCAGGGCAAAGCCAAGAGCTTCTTCCACATGGTACAAGGGCCCAAAACACTGGGGCTGTCTGCTGCTGCTTTCCCAGACCATTAACAGGGAGTTAAATCAGAAGTGGAGCAGCCAGGACACGGACTGGCATCCATATCAAGTGCTGAAATTGCAGTGGGTAGCTCTACCTGCTACACTGTAACACCAATACCAAACTTTTTAAGACTTGTAAGGAGAGGGGTTATTTGAATGGCAAAAAGGCAAAATTACCAAGAGGACAATCTTCAGTCCACTGGTTGACTCCCCAAATGTCCACAACAGCCTGGGTTGGGCTGGGGACTAGGAATTTTTCTGTGTCACCCACGTTGGGTGGAAAGGCCCCAGGACTTGGGTCATTCTCTGTAGCTTTCCTAGGCGCAGTAGCAGTGAGTTGGATTAGAACTGGAGCAGCCAGCACTTGAACCGGCTCTCTTTGGGGGTGCCCACTCTACAAGTGGTAGCTTAACCCACTAGGCCATGGCACTGGCCACTGTAATTTTGTTAGTGTAATTAATAAGCTGTGGGTCTCTTCCATGTACTGCTGCTGTTAGCACAGCTTGAACTGGAGTCATTGTCAGCTTTGGTCCCTTGTGAAGTGCATCCTGTTCCTAATGTCAGCTGTTAGCTCCCTGTTGCAGACAAACTGATCTCCAATTAAAAGGGCTGTGGTCTTGGAATTGCTATGGTTCTTTGTGAACTGTGCACACACAAGGGGAATCCCACATGTTCATTGAAAAGGAAATTTAAAAGATGCTTGTTTTTGTCAAAAGTTTTTGAAACCTGCATGGTTTTTTTCATAGTATGCATTTTCCATGAATTTTGAAGACCTCTGCTATCGGTTCCTGGGATATCTGATTTGTTTTCAAGACTCACCAGGTGATTCTGGGGAGCAGCCCGGGGGAACTCACCGGTGCAGGGTGTTAGGCAGCCTCTTAGGTTGGCTCTTCTGCAGGCACCATCCCTGTGTCTGAGCTGGTGATGGACCTTGGCTCTCACCGCTGGGGGAATAACAAGTGATGGGGCTCTCCTCACATGTCCTGCTGCCGTGCCCATCCGAAGAGGCAGGAATCCCTGGCTTTGACATGGACTCCTTCTGAGGGCTGTGTGCACATGGGTGCCCAAGCACATGTGACAGTCCAGGTCACCCCCACTGAAAGGTGAAAGCCAGTGCAGCATATAGACTTTATTTGGAAATTAATTATGAAAACCAAATATTGGGTCTGGTGTGATGGCTCAGTGGCTAAATCCTCACCTTGAAAGCACCAGAATCCTATATGGGTGCTGGTTCATGTCCTGACTGTTGTACTTCCTATCCAGCTCCCTGCTTGTAGTCTAGTTTGAAAGCAGTGAGGGATGACCCAAACCTTGGGACCCTACATCTGCATGGGAGACCTGGAAGAAGCTCCTGGCTCCTGACTTCAGATTAGCTCAAATGGCCATTGTGGCCACTTGGGGAGTAAACCAAAGGATGAAAAATGTGTATCTCTGTCGCTCCTTCTCTGTAAATCTGAGCTTCCAATAAAATAAATAAATCTTTTGAAAAAAAAGATCAGGGTAGGTATTTAGCCTTACAGTTAAGATCCTTGGATTGTAAGACTGTGATCCTTTGACTGCATCTGACTGGTTTCCTGCTGAAGCCGACCCTGGGAGACCGGGGTGAGGGCACAGGTGTCTGTCTTTCTCCCCTCTCTGCTTCATGAACAAATCATTAAGATTAAAAAAAAGAAGCTGGCAGTGATCCTTTGAGTAACTCTAATATGGTCTAGAGAATCAAGCATATGAGAAAGCATACTCCAAGGTCTGACTTTTAAAATTTTTGTTATGGAAAATTTTAAATGCATAAAACTTGAGAGACTAGTCAAATGATATCATCTTGCCTTGGTAACCTCAGCTGCCTTGTCTGTGTTCTTGGTTCCTCTACATTGTCAGCTGTCCCACGTTACATATTGTTAGAGCCGTAAGTGTTTTAAATTTTATTTTACAAATGACTCCTTTTTTTCAAACAAAGCTTACCATATCTAAAAAACTAATGTTGATTCCTCAACATCATCAAATATCAGTTGACATTTCCTTTGTTTTCGTTTCAGATTGATTTATTTGAAAGAGCTTTCATCTGCTGGTTCACTCCGCAGGGGGCAATAGTGGCTTGGATTGGGCCAGGAACCAGAAGATGCTCTGGGTCTCCCATGTACATGGCAAGGGCCAAAGCTCTTGGGCCATCTTCTGCTTTTGCAGATCATTATGAGGGAACTACAACAGAAGTAGAGCAACCAGGACAGGCACCAGTGCCCAGACGGTGACAAAGACTTTACCCCCTACACCACACCGACCTCAAGATGTCCTCAGTTTTTAGAATGTAATCAAAGATGCGGCATTGTGGTGGGAAGTTCCCTCTCACTCAGCACTGGTTTGCATCTTGACTGCTCCACTTGTGATTCCCACTCCCTGCCAAGGAAGCTGGGAAAGCAGCAGCCAAAGATGGCCCAAGTACTGGTGCCCCTGCACCATGTGAGAGACCTGGATGTTCCAGGTTCGGGCCTTCACTCTGGTCCAGCCGAAGTTCTTGGGACCATTTGAAGAGTGAACTGGCAGATGAAAGATGTATTTTTCTGTCTCGAAACAGTCTTTCCCTCTACTCCATTACTCTGCTTTCAAATGGAGAAATAAATGTGGGCCTCTGTTTTGTTTTGTCATGCAACTCCCGATTCCAGTGCCCCATTTCACCGTTGTCCCTGTCATCTCAGGTTCGCAAGGCACTGCGCAGTGCTGAGGCTTACGAGAACTTCCTGCGCTGCCTGGTCATCTTCAACCAGGAGGTGATCTCCCGGGCGGAGCTCGTGCAGCTCGTCTCGCCTTTCCTGGGGTAGGTGAGGTGACGGGTGAGAGACCTGAAATGCCAAGGGAGTCTGACACCTGAAGTGCTCGTGTCCTGGGATCCTAAGAAGTCCTTTCAGTCTAACTGCAAAGGAAAGTGAGGAGGCGAGGACCTGAGATCTACCCATTTGCTTCCCTCTTCCCCTGACTGGGTTCTAGAATTGTGGCTGTGCCCAACAACCTCCAAATTGTAACCTAACACTGTGAGGAATACCAAGATGAACAGAGCAATAGGACACCACCCATCTGAGTGCAGCTCTCTCATGGTGCACAGTGCTCACCTCCTGTCCTGAATCTGTGCCTTTCAGGCAGCAGGTGTTGGGGAATTGTCCCTGGGCGCAGCGCTCTGACCCAGCCCTAGCAGGTGGCCATGCCACAGGATCACCACATGGTGCGTGCCTCTGATGGTTAACTTGCTTTTGCTTTGGTTTTTCAGGAAGTTCCCTGAATTGTTTAATTGGTTTAAAAACTTTCTGGGCTATAAGGAGTCTGTACATCTGGAAACCTTCCCCAAGGAACGAGCCACCGAGGGCATTGCCATGGAGATTGACTATGCGTCTTGTAAGCGTCTGGGCTCCAGCTACCGAGCGCTGCCAAAGAGCTACCAGCAGCCCAAGTGTACGGGGCGGACACCACTCTGTAAAGAGGTAAGGCCTCGGGCAGAGGCAGCTCTGCAGCACCTGCTTCTTCTGGGGTGAGGACGGTGTTTCCCGGGATCCAGACTCTGTGAACGACAAATCCACAACCTTCTCTCTTTTCTCAAAATATTTTGTTCTTACATTCAGAACTTCTTTTTCCAGATCTCTTGTGAAGTTTTTAATGTGAGTTCTTGATTTCCTCCCTGGAGTTCACTAAGAATGCTCAGTGAAGAGCACACATTTAACTCAGAAGTTAGGACAGCCTTGTTCTCTAGTGGACTGCCTCAGGTTGTTGCCTGCCTCTCAGTTCTGACTCTTGCTAATGCAGCTCTTGGGAGGTGTTGGTGAAGGCTCAGGTAACTGGCTGCCAGTCATCCACATGGGAGACCTGGATTGAATTCCTGGTACTTGGATCTGTCTCGGCCTCTGAAAAGAAACAAAAACAAATGGCAATCATCAGTAAGTGTTAATTAGATTTTTGCTTCCGTCTCGCTTCTCTTCCCTGAAGGTTCTAAATGATACCTGGGTCTCCTTCCCGTCGTGGTCTGAGGATTCCACCTTCGTCAGCTCCAAGAAGACACAGTACGAAGAACACATTTACCGCTGTGAAGACGAGCGCTTTGAGGTAAGAGCATCAGGGAGGCTGCCGAAGGGGCCCTGGGTGCCGGCTTCTATGGGGCAGGAGAGTGGGCACCCCTGCACTCTTCTGGCAAGATGCTGGTTGTACTCAGCGTGCTTTTTGCATTTGCCAAATGCATTCATCAATGATTTTACAGCAAATGTGACGTATCTAGGCCACTTCTACCCTTTTAACTGAACTTGTCCCTTCACGGCTGAAGAATAATCCTTTGGATTTGCATAGCCGTTTGAAAGTGATTGTGTTTTACGTGGAGTGGAAATGCAATGCCCTCATGCCTATGGGCTTCCTTGAAGCTGTTTTTGGTGGCTTTTTATGAGAGCTCTAAACTGTTCAAACCCAGAGGTCTTTCCTGCTTAGTTCTTTTGAAAAAAAATTAAATGAGGAACTTTTATCTTAATGAAGTTGATGGGCAAGGATGGAAATGAAAGAGCTGCTTATTAGGTCTTTTGCCAGAGGAGAAAAGAGTGGCCTTAGATTCCCCTGTCTGTGTCATTGATGCCACTACCAAAGAGGGGAGCTGAGTATGTCTGTGGAAGCTGGCGGCCTGTATCCTAGTTGTTGCATTTAGTGCATTAAACTGACCAGCTCACTAAACTGTGTGGGTAGGTGAGGTCTCCTTCTTTGATCCGTGCTGATGTAGCTCTCCTCCCCCTTCACACTGACGCCCACTGCTGCTTCTGTGTTGTGAATGAAGCATAATATACTGCTTGGCCCCAGACAGGCTGTGCCATCTTTGCCTCCAGTGTTTATGTGAAGTTCAAGTCATTTGCCGAAGACTGAATCGTGGCAGGTGTTAACATCTGTGGGGAGCTGATCAAGCTGAAGAGGCATTTCTTGGTTGCCTAAGTGAGCAAGGCTCTGTGTGCATCTCTCCTTGCTGGAAGTGTCAACTACCATTCCCTGTGCTGGACACTTGGTGTCACAGAAGAGTCTTCAGAGAGTGTTCAGTGCTACTGCCACTTTACTATGGCTGCCGTGGCAGAGCCGGGCGTCAGAATGAGGGGTTAGACGTCCAGCCCAGTTCTCCTGACTCTGGTTTGGTTTGGTCCTGAGCACTTTTCTGTTTTTTTCTTCAGCTTGATGTAGTTTTGGAGACCAATCTGGCAACAATCCGTGTTCTGGAGGCAATACAGAAAAAGCTTTCACGCTTGTCTGCTGAGGAGCAGGCCAAGTTCCGCTTGGATAACACGCTTGGGGGCACGTCAGAAGTGATCCACCGCAAAGCCCTGCAGAGGATATACGCGGACAAGGCAGCTGACATTATCGACGGCCTGCGCAAGAACCCCTCCATTGCTGTGCCCATCGTCCTCAAAAGGTGACTGAGCCCACCCTTCCTCCATAATGTGCTACACAGCGGGCTCTCGTGACCGACCCATTAGCCCTAAGGTTTCTCCCCAATCACAGTTGTTGGAAATTGAGTACAGAGCAAGAACTGGTTCTCTATAACCAGCTTTAGACCAGACCTTGAAAGTGGGGGGAGGTGGGCCCGATGCATAGGCTTGAGGGGCTATTTGAAATAGTAAGACTGAGACAGAACTTTCATCCACTGGTTCGTTTCCCAAATGGCCACACATGTCAGGGCTGGCCAGGAGCCTTTAACTCCATCATGGACTTCTGCCTAGGTTGAAAAGGATCCTAAGTGTTCTTGGGACATATTGTGCTTCCTTCCCAGGTACATTAGCAAAGCTGGTTTGGAACCAGAGTCTCAGGGACTTGAACTGGCTCTCTGATGTAATATGCCAGTCTCACAAGCAGTGACTGAACTTGCTGTGCCACAAGTAACATTGTTGTGTTTTAGTATTTGAGAGACAAAGAGTGGCAGAGGTCCCATCTGTTGACTCAGTTCCCAGTGTGGCTGGTGGTAGAGGCCAGAAACTAGGGACTCTATCCAAATCTGTGAAGGCAGCAGGGACCTGAGCACTGAGCCGTCAGTACTGCCTCCTCCCAGGGTGTGCAGTAGCAGAACGCTCAAGTTGGGAGCCAGAACTCGGCGAAGAACCCAAGTGCTCCTTACATGTCTGAACTGCCAGGCCACTTGCCTGCCCTGCATGGTCCTTTGCTCATGCTGGGAATCGTGTTGTGTCACTGGATGAGTACTATTTGCTACACAATTCACACAGCCCAGATAACTGTCTTTCCTCCCGCCAAAATCTGGCACACAATCAAGATTCTTTTGTTGCTGGTGACATTTGGCTTGTGGCTTCTGAGGTGCAGTTATCCTGAAGTTCTAGCACTGTGTTGGCTTTTGTTCTCCCTGGAGCCTCAGGATCCGTGGCTCTGAGTAGAGTTGCAGTGGTTGTGTCAAGTGTCGTAGAGGGTCTAGGAAGCAATGTGGCACTTGTCTCAGCCATCCCAGGCAGTGAGCCCTTTCTTCAAGGCATGTCCTCACACCCTGGGGTGTTTTGTTTGAAAAGTAACCAGTGTTAATGTGAGATTTCTGACTGAGGGACTGATGGCTGTTTCCGTAAATCATGAAGGAGTAATTCTCCATGTGACAGGGTGTAAGGCTAGTCTGATAGTATTTGTCCCAAAGTGCAACTCAGTGCAGACTTAGTCCAGCTTTGTCATCTGAAGCGCGCCTGGTATATTTCTCACTTCTGAGACTGAATTCCCACTTGTGGCCGTCTGTACCTGCCTCCCTACCCCGCAGGCTGAAGATGAAAGAGGAAGAGTGGCGAGAAGCTCAAAGAGGCTTTAACAAGGTATGGCGTGAGCAGAACGAGAAGTACTACCTGAAGTCTCTGGACCACCAGGGAATCAACTTTAAGCAGAATGACACAAAGGTGCTGAGGTCCAAGAGCTTGCTTAACGAGATTGAGAGTATCTACGACGAGGTGAGCGAGGCTGCCGTCTGTGTGAGAGCACCCGTCTGCATGCATGGCACAGTTTGGATGTCTAGAAAACCAGGCTGCCAAGCCCTCTCGGTTGGTGCTTGGATCCACCGTGTTTACACTGAGCCTTGGCTATGCGATTTGTGTCTTCATGTCCATCCTGCTGTGTTTCCCTCAAGTACACCTAGCCATCCGTGTCCTGCAGGGGATGCCTCACTTTCCTGTGGACCCTCAGTGTATCACTGACCCCCAGGCTCTTGGTGATTCTTGTTGGTTATGGGACTAGAAACAGACCTGGAGCTGAGATGCTGATGGAACTCCACTTCTGAGAGAGGAATGCAGGCAGGCCTGTGGTGCCTGCTCGATTGCTACAGTTGGCTTGTCTTGAATGGCGGCTGTTGGTAAAATGGCATACACTGCTTGTGTAGTCCTAAAGCTAAGTTGTTGACATAGATGCCTCACGGGATTGTTTCTCTCTCCCAACAGCGGCAAGAGCAGGCTACGGAAGAGAACGCCAGCGCGCCTGTTGGCCCACACCTCTCCCTTGCCTACGAGGACAAGCAGATACTGGAAGATGCCGCTGCTCTCATCATCCACCATGTGAAGAGGCAAACGGGCATCCAGAAGGAGGACAAGTATAAAATCAAGCAAATCATGCACCATTTTATTCCCGATCTGCTCTTTGCTCAGAGAGGTGATTTGTCAGATGTGGAGGAAGAGGAAGAGGAAGAAATGGATGTGGATGAAGCGACTGGGGCAGCCAGGAAGCATAATGGTGTTGGCGGCAGTCCTCCCAAGTCCAAGTTGCTATTCAGTAACACAGCAGCCCAGAAGCTGAGAGGGATGGATGACGTGTACAACCTCTTCTACGTCAACAACAACTGGTACATCTTCATGCGACTGCACCAGATTCTCTGCCTGAGGCTGCTGCGGATTTGCTCCCAAGCTGAACGGCAGATTGAAGAGGAAACCCGAGAGAGAGAATGGGAACGGGAGGTGCTGGGCATCAAGCGAGAAAAGAGTGACAGCCCTGCCATCCAGCTTCGTCTCAAAGAGCCCAGTGAGTTGCTCACACTGTTGCTAGAGGATGTGGTGGGTGGGGCCTCAGGGCTGCTTGCCCTGCTTGTATATTGATTTATTGAAAGACAGAGTGATTAACAATGAAGGATGTAGGGACTCCTTGCATTCACTGTTTCACTGCCCATGTGGCTGCAACGGCAGGGCCTGGGCCTGGTTAAAGCTAGGACCCAAGAACTCATTCAGCTCTTAAGTTGGTAGAAGGAGCCCAAGCACTTGGATCATCTTCTGTCACCGGCTAGGAGCATTAGCAGGGAGCTGGATTGGGAGCACAACAACGGGGACCAAAACTAACACTCAGGGAATCCTGTGTAGCAGATGGAGGCTAAACATGCTGTACCACAGCACTGCCCTGAGGCCTGTTTCTGTTCACGCACAGATCATAGTTTCCAGTCTTGGATTTGAATTATGATTCACATCTACAGATTCCTATGAGTGACCTCACCCAAACTTTGAACTTATTTCACAAGGTTGCTGAGAGAATTCACACACATAGGCCACATACACTGTGCAGTTTGGGGACCATAAACAGGAGATGGAGGGTGGATGCTGTGGGCCAGGAAGGGACCTGGTCCCCATGAGCCGCCCACGTGATGGCACTCTGGAGACTACAGTGTGTTTCACAGCACAGAAACACAGTTTACTCACATAGGCTTGATGGGTTTTTTTTTAATTGGAAAGGCAGATGTACGGAGAGGAAGGTTTTCTGTTGGATGGTTCATTCCCAATTTGCCGCAACGGCTGGAGCTGAGCCAATCTGAAAACCGGAGCTTCTTCCGGATCTCTCGCATGGGTGCAGGGTCCCAGGGCTTTGGGCTGTCCTCGACTGCTTTCCCAGGCCACAAGCAAGGAGCTGGATGGGAAGTGGAGCTGCCGGGATTAGAATGGGTGCGCATAATGGGATCCTGGCGGGTTCAAGCCGAGGACTTTAACCATTATGCTATCGTGCCTGGACCCTTAATGGGGCTTCTTAATAATGAGAGTTTGTTGGCTCAGTGCTGTTAAGTAGCAATGGTTTCTGGAAAGGAGATTTGGATTTGAGATGGTGTGAGACACAACAGGAAAGGCAGGGCAGATAGAGATCTCAGCAGTAGGAAGCCACGGGATGGGCGGGGAGACCGACTTGAGTGTGCCGCCTGCTGCCACATTACAGCCAGCTGATAAATCAAACAGGGGGCTAGGAGCCAGAAGCTTTCTCCAGAAACCCTTCCATCTGGGCAATTGAGCAAATAACCAATTTGAGGAGTTCTTTGTGTTTGTTTTTTAAGAAAAAGTGAGTTCCCACCACAGCTTTGTGCCCCAAATGCCTGCTGGGGCTAGCACCAGGCCAGACCAAAACCAAGAGCCAGTTACTCGGAGTCAGCACTGTCACTTCCTATCTGCATTAGAAGCTCAAATCTGGAGCCAAGCTGGAAGTCAAACCCAGGCACTCAGCTATGGGTAGCATCCAACCTACTAAACCAGCTTGAGGATGCATGCCATCCCTTCTCTCCCTCTCTCCTTCCCTCCTTCCCTCCCTAGCTATATCTATCTATATTGGAAATACAATCTTCCATCCACTGGTTCACTCCCCAGATGGACAGAGAGGTCGTGGCTGAGCTGATCCAGAGCCAGTAGTTTCTTTCAGCTCTCCCATGAAGGTACAAGGGCCTAAGGACTTGACCCATCCTCCACTGCCTTCCCAGGCCATGGACAGAGCTGGATTGAAATAGGCCAGCCAGGATACCAACTGGTGCCCATGTCAGTTAACAGTACTGCAAGTGGAGGATTAATGTGCTGTGTCACTGTGCAGGCCTCCTCTAATCCCCCACCTTTTTTTTAAACATTGCTGATTAAGAAGCCATGCATGGCCGTAGTTCCCTGTTGAATAGCTAACGACACTGGCAGTTAGTTCTAAAAGCCTATCTAGAGTGTCCTGCCTGGAGAGACAGAAATTTTGGACCCAAGTGTGGTAACTCCATCTTAGGTAGCCTGCTTCTGGCTTCATGTGACATGAGGCTTCCACAGTTTGGCCTAGAGTGTTGGTGACAGCCCTGGGGCAGATAGCGTGTACTTTGGACAGCTTGGGCTGACCTCGAGGCATGTTGTCCAGGAACACCTGGTGTGTGGGGGCTGTGCTCTAGCCTGTGCTGTGGGCTCAAACCAGATGACAAGTGCAGCTTGAGCCCTGGCTGCCTCCGTGCTGGCAGGGCCTGTCCTGTTGTGCTGTCCTCCATGGCCCTGTGACCCTGCAGGTATTGGTCCGCCCATGCACTAACAGGTGTCCAGTTCACCCTGATGAATTCTGTCTATACTTTGAATCAGCCTTATATATTGAGTGTGCCAAGTACATAGGGAAGTACAGATCCTGACTCTATAGCTCACTGAATGTTTACACAGTAGACACATTTTTGAGAGATCGTTGTGGTCCAGCAAGTCCCAGCTGCTCTAGGCTTCTGCTCCAGTTTCCTGCTGGTACATCCTGGGAGGCAGCAGGTGAGAGCTCGAGCACATGGGACCCTCCTAGCCACCTAGGAGACCCAGGTGGAGTTAGTTCATGGTTCCTGGCTTTGGCCTGGCCAAAACCTGGCTTTGTGGTCATTTAGGGAGTGAAACAATAGTGGATTCAAGATATGTCTCTCTTCTTTTGCCTGTCACATAAATACATCTTTTTTAAAAATTAAGAAACCACAAAACCTCTTCACTTCCTGCACTGGAGATTCGATCTGCCTCATTGTGAACCTGCCATAAGTGAGTTTGATTCTGATAAACTGAAAGCAGGACTCTTGCTGGGCATTGTGCCCTTGGCAGGCTGCTCATTGTCTCCTGCACCATGGAGGAGCTCCAGGAGCCATTGTTGGAGTGAGTGATGAGCAGCTAAGTGAAGGTTTTCTAATGCCATTGTGAAGTACAGTGTTGTGAATCCGTTTTAAACAAAGGGACTTTGACAAATGTAGATTATTTCATTATTCATAGAGGAATTAATTTATGCTGCTATTTTTCTATCCCCAGAGATTTCCTGGTGCTCTGGCACAGCTGTGTCTGCCTTTATTCACCTGCACCTGGCTGTCATCAGCCAGCTTTGTGAGTGGCCCGTGTTCGGGTACTCTGTGTGGCAGGGAAAGTGAAGGAGACGGGATTCGGACAGACCACTTCCTGAGACATTTTGCTCTGCTGTCAATGTGGAGCTCTCTGGTGTGGTCAGTCGGGACGTTGGCGGCCCTGGTCAAGTCCAGAGTCACAGGGCTGGGGTAGTGGCTCAACAGGCTAATCATCCAGCTGCTCCACTTCCAGTTCAGCTCCCCGCTTTTGGCCTGGGAAAGCAGTGGAGGATGGCCCAGGTCCTTGTGTGCTGAATTCGTATGGGAAACCTGGAAGAAACTCCTGACTCCTGGCTTAGGATCGGCTCAGGCTTTGCTGTTGCATCCATGGTGGGAGTAAACCAGAAGATGGAAGATCTTTCTCCATCTCCTGTGTAAATCTGCTCTTCCAATAAAATCAGAAAAGGAAAACCAGGCTTGCATTGCCTTCTTTACAAAGAAGGAGAAGTTGTGGAGTCACTCTTGCATGAGTAGCGGAGTGGCGACCTTGTTGCTTGCTGCCACCTGTCAGCTGCTGCTGTGGGATTAACTTGTGCGGTGTGCGCAGCCCTGTTCAGCACATCAGGCTTCATCTGGTTACTCTCTCTGCAGTGGATGTTGATGTAGAGGATTATTATCCGGCATTCCTGGACATGGTGCGGAGCCTGCTGGATGGCAACATAGACGCGTCACAGTATGAAGACTCGCTGCGAGAGATGTTCACCATCCACGCCTACATCGCCTTCACCATGGACAAGCTGATCCAGAGCATTGTCCGGCAGGTGAGCACGGTCAGGGTTGAGCGAGGAGCAGAGAAGCTTCTGCTGGTAAAGGGAGAGGCACACTGATCTCTAACAGTGCCAGTTGTCCACAGTGCTCTGCCAGCCTTGGTTGGTAGAGTTAGGTTTGTGCTGTATTCCTGTGGTCTCCTGGGGTTGTTCAGTAGGTCCTCCTACAGAGCAGTGAGTGCTATCTGACTAGTAAGGGCTGGGGACCAAATCAGTTTTCTGCTCCTTGGCCTTGGGCTCGGGAGGATTGAGAGTGTGTTGTCAATCTGCTACTAGCGAGGGACTTTAAGGAAAGGCGAGTTCTAGTCCAAGTGCCTGCGCCACCCCTGTGGGTGAAAAACGCATGCTGTGCCAGGAGGCGTTCAGGGGGGTGTCTGCTTGCACCCCCTCAATGTCCGCTCTCACCAGTGGATCTTGCCATCCTGAAGAAGGTCTGAGGGTCTGCAGGGGAGTGGTGGTCATCGTCAGGTGGACATGGTTAGCCAGCATTTGACTTCGGGAGAGATTAATCCTTATCTGGCCACTGTGAAAGCAGGTCAGTAAAACCTACTTGATAAGGCTGAGGGTGGCTTTTGAAATGACAGAATTAGGCCATTGTTATATAATTTTGAATTTGTAATACTCTCAGTCTATTCTTTATGGAAGCAGGTTTTATCCAGAAAACCCCGTGTCAGCATGTTATAGAACCTGTGTTCAGGGTTCTGTACTCACTTGGAGGCCTCTCCTTGCTTGCTGTTGCCCCCCAGAGTTTGTCACTGAAGTTGCAGGTCAATCCGTACATTGGCCCTGTCTTCTCAAGGCAGGTGACAGAGGGATTTGTTCTCCAAGGCAGGGCTTGGGGCTAGGGGTCAGCAGGGTGAAGCCCTCCTAGCTGCAACACCGGTGTCCCCTACTGAAGGGCCATCTTGAATCTCAGCGTCTTTGCCTTAGATCTGCCTCCCTGCTCATGAGCTTAGGGAGGCAGCAGGGCATCCAAGCTGGGATCCCGTCAACAAGGCAGGAGACCCAGGCGCAAAGAATGATGATAGACATTCCTGTGGGCAGCTGAGCACCGAAGCTGAGTGTGTGGCCCTTCTGTGTGAGAACTGATGGAGAAAGGGTCTCTGTCTCCTGCCATCCTTCACTTTCACGTGTCTGTGAGACTTGCACATATCATGTCACTGCAGTTAGCTCCATGCTGGTGTGGGGTTGGAGTGCTACCTTTTCCAAGGACCTGTGGGGGACCCTGATAGCCGAGAAAGAGTGGAGCCTCAGCAGGTGGACATGGTGGACATGGGCCTTGGATGTGGTTTTCCACATTGTATTCTTTTCTCTCACTTGAGTCATAGGCTTTTGCCTGTTAGCGAGTCGTCATAAGATGGGTGAGAATCCGTTGTCCGGGATAATGTGTCTGGAAGCACTGCTCTTTCTACTCAGCCTTCTAACTGTCCCTCATGCCCAGATTCCTATAAATACATGCACCTGTCATTTCGAGCTTTACTTATAAAAGTAGGTAGTTATCCTATAAATAATGATGCCTTGGTTGAGAATTCTAATTTTTTTAGTACATTTTTAAAAAGTTGGAGAGACAAGGCCCAGCACAGTGGCCTAGTGGCTAAAGTCCTCGCCTTGAATGCACTGGGATCCCATATCGTTACTGGTTCTAATCTCGGCAGCCCCACTTCCCATCCAGCTCCCTGCTTGTGGCCTGGGAAAGTAGTTGAGGACAGCCCAAGTCCTTAGGATCCTGCACCCACGCGAAAGACCTGGAAAAAGTTCCTGGCTCCTACCTTCGGATTGGCTCAGCTCTGGCCACTTGGTGGAGTGAACATTGGATGGAAGATCTTCCTCCGTCTCTCCTCCTCTCTGTATAAATCTTTTAAAAAGGTGGAAAGACAGAGATCCTCCATCTGCTGGTGCCCCCTTCCATCTCAGATGCTTGAAAGGCAAGTGCTAAGTCGGGCCAAAGCCAGGAGTCGGTGTCATGCAAGTCTCCCATGTGAATGCAGGGGCCCAAATACATGGACCATTGCTGCTGTTTTTTCTCAAGCCATTGGAGGGGAGCTGCAGCAGTGGAGCAGTGGAGATTTCAGTCAAAGGTCATGTGGGGCACTTGTACTACACTTATACCACAGGTGGCCCCATTAGCCACTAAACCATACCAGGCCTCATAGGAAAAATGCAAATTTTATATTGAAATCAACTTTTGTTGCCTTTTCTGTTTTTCACATTCTGTGGCATTATTTGAGGGGTGCAGCTTGATTTGGGAGTCTTCCATTTGAAATAGAAATAGCATGTGATGTTGCGAAACAAAGGGTCGGCTTTCCAGGTGAGTGTTTGGTACGCTTATCACAAGAAGGTGCAAGACTGGGAAGCGGGAGTAGTTAGCATAACAGAGAGTGCCGCACTTTGTATTGGACATGGAAATGTAGGTGATGTCTCAGGGCAGGTGTTGGCCTGTGAGTTCGGGGAGCTGTGCTGTTGCCCCAGTCTGTTGTCACTGCCAAGCACCAGAACGTCTCGTGGGCCTTGGTTTTGTGCGAACCTGGAAATTGCCATTGCTGTGGGACTTAGCTTGGGTGACAGCAGGCTGCCTCCCAACCACAGCTTCCCAGGCAGCTTTCTCACCCACCATGCGGCATCTTTCCCTTGTGTGCCTGGGGGTTCCAGTGAGGACATGCATGGAAGCAAATTGTACATGATAACAAGGAACCTTAGAAATTTGAGGCTTTTTTAAAGATTTATTTTTATTATTTTTTTATTGGAAAGGCGGATATACAGAGAGGAGAGACAGAGAGGAAGAGCTTCCGTCCGATGATTCACTCCCCAAGTGAGCGCAACGGCCGATACTATGCCGATCCGAAGCCAGGAGCCTCTTCTGGGTCTCCCACACAGGTGCAGGGTCCCAAAGCTTTGGGCCATCCTCGACTGCTTTCCCGGGCCACAGGCAGGGAGCTGGAAGGGAAGCGGGCCTGCCGGGATAGAACTTGCGCCCATATGGGATCCCAGGCATGCAAGGCGAGGATCTTAACCACTGCGCCACCACGCCGGGCCCAAGATTTATTTTTTAATTGGAAAATCAGATATACAGAGAGGAGGAGAGATAGAAAAGATCTTCCATCCACTTATTCACTCCCCAATTGGCCACAATGGCTGGAACTGAGCCAATTTGAAACCAGGAGTCAGGAGCCTCTTCCGGGTCTCCCACGCAGGTGCAGGGTCCCATAGCTTTGGGCCGTCCTCGACTGCTTTCCCAGGCCACAGGCAGGGAGCTGGATGGGAAGCGGGGCTGCCGGGATAGAACCGGCGCCCATATGGGATCCCGGGCGTGCAAGGCGAGGACCTTAAGCACTTCGCCACCGTGCCAGGCCCTATGTATTTATTTTTAAGATTTACTTATTTTTATCACAAAGTCGGATATACAGAGAGGAGGAGAGGAAGATCTTTCATCCAATGATTCACTCCCCAAGTGAGCACAATGACCCGTGCTGTGCCGATCTGGAGCCAGGAGCCAGGAACTTCCTCCGGGTCTCCCACATGGGTGCAGGATCCCAAAGCATTGGGCCGTCCTCAACTGCTTTCCCAGGCCACAAGCAGGGAGCTGGATGGGAAGTGGGGCTGCCGAGATTAGAACCAGCACCCATATGCAATCCCGGGGCATTCAAGGCGAGGACTTTAGCTGCTATGCCATGCTGTCAGACCCAGTCCTTGGCATTTTAAATAAGCAACTTGCTTACCTAAGCTGCCTCTGGTCTTGGCTTTAAATAAAGAGGTAAGTTTTGCTCACAGACTTCTGATGTGCTCCATTGTTCCCCAAGAAAATGGTCCAGTGATTTTGTGAGATGGATTTTCTTTAATTGTCCTTTTGGCACGCATGACCAGAGGACAGGGCGAGGCGTCTTCATGTGCACTGACACCTCTCCTGCTTGCTCGCAGCTGCAGCACATCGTGAGTGATGAGATCTGTGTGCAGGTGACTGACCTCTACCTGGCGGAGAACAGCAATGGGGCCACTGGCGGCCAGCTCAGCACGCAGACGTCGAGGAGCCTGCTGGAGTCCACGTACCAGCGCAAGGCTGAGCAGCTCATGTCGGACGAGAACTGCTTCAAGGTAGGGGTTGCTCCCCTCCATTGGCTGAGATCTCCCAGCTGGCGTGGAGATGTTGGAACGAATCGGGATGCCAGCCTTAGAGTAGGAGACCCTGAATCAAGATTCTTGATGGTGAGACTAATTCACCAGGAGGACAAGTCCCAGCCAGGGTGGTCGGAGCCCTGAGTCCATTCCTGGAACTTCTTCAAGTGCCCCTTTCCTCTTTCAGAAGAAATGCAGGGAACATTGAAAACTGGAAGTAACCACTCCCCTACCTACATGGCTTTCTCATCTGCTAGAAAAAAACATCATTGTGATACATGGCTTTGTAATTTTTTTTTTTTAAGATTTCATTTTATTGCAAAGGCAGGTTTGCAGAGACAAGGAGAGATAAAAATTTTGCATCCACTGGTCCACTCCCCAAGTGGCCACAATAGGGAGAGCTGAGCCAATCCAGAAGCCTCCTCAGGGTCCCCTGTGAAAGCACAGAGTCCCGAGGCTTTCAGGCATCCTCCACTGCTTTCAGACCACAAGCAGGGAGCTGGATGGGAAACAGGGCCACCGGGACATGAACCAGCACCCATATGGGATCCTGGCACGTGCAAGGCAAGGACTGTAGCTGCTAGGCTACTGTGCTGGGCCCTTCGTATTTATTTTGTTGAAGATTTCTATTGGAAAGGCAGATTTACAGAGAGGAAATACAGAAAGATCTTCCATCCGCGGGTTCACTCCCTGAATGGCTACAATGGCCAGAACTGAGCAGATCCGAAATCAGTAGCTTCTTCCGGATCTCCTGCTCAGGTGCAGAGTCCCAAGGCTTTGGGCCTTCCTCCACTGTTTTCCCAGGCCGCAAGCAGGGAGCTGGATGGGAAGTGGAGCTGCCAGGATACCCATTGGTGTCCACATGGGATCCCATCACTTGCATGTTGAGGATTTAGCGGCTGAGCCGTCACACCAGGCCCTAGACCTGGTTATTATGGGCATTTCAAGAGTACACATTTCAGTGTACAGAAGATCTCTAATTTTTATTGGAAAGGCAAATTTACAGAATTGAGATAGAGAAAGCTCTTCCGTTCACTCCCCAAATAACCATTAGAGCTGGAGCCGAGCCAATCTGAAGTCCAGAGCAACTTTTTGTTGTGGTTTTTAATGATGATGTTTTCATAGTTGATCAGGGTTGGAAGGGTCAAGGATCCTGGGAAAGTGGGCGAGACCATTGTTTTTACACATTCTAACTGTATTTTGAGAGGATAATCAGGGAGAGGTTACAATGGGAAAGGCCATGCCAAGCCTCCCAACTGCCTCCATAGCCAATATCATCTCAGGTCCCTGTTGTAGAGGATTATGCTGAAGTGGCCTTGATAGTTCTGACATGGTGTTGATATCATCGCTCCAAGGATGAGGACATTCTTTTCAAGGTCAGTTGGCTGACATAGTCCACTTCAGTCTCCATTCCCCCAGAGGTTTGATGTCAAGCTTCGCTGGTGTAGCTGATGACTTTGTTCTGTCCTCCTTCCTCTGCAAATCAATGGGTGCTGCAGCCCAGCCCTGCCCAACACAGGTTCGGCTCTCACATATACCAGGGGCAGCTGCAGCCCATTCAGAGCGACCTCTAATAACCCCCACTGGACTAGCTCCAACTCTGGTTCCTATGCCTGCCAACATGTGCAGTGGACTGATCCAGTCTGTCCCACATCCCATTCAGATCTCGTATACATCATGGGGCATTGGAACATAACTCAAACTAACCAACTCCACGCTCCAGCCCATACTCATGGCAGTGTGTACCTCCGTTGTCCAGGAAGGCCCGCCCTCAGTCGTGGTTCTCATGCTCACGGGTGAGAGTTGCAGCCTATCGGAGATGTGCCCAAAGCCTCCCCGCAGGATCTGCTCCCTACCTCGGATCTTGTACTCTCCAGGTGGTTCTGCAATCTAGCCCCACAGGACTTGCACCCAGGCCCAGCACGTGCCAGCTGGTGTTATGGCAGAGCCCAACCCACCTGCCCTATTCTGGCTCATGCCTGTACCAGTGGATACTGTCGGTTAATCTGTCTTGGCTCTCCCCCTAACCTAGTACACATGTAGGCCAACAAGTGTTGTAACCCTGCCTAGCTTGGTCTGTCCCCAGTCCCAGCTCTCTCATGCTCACCAGCAAGAACAGTGGTCCCAGTACTCTACTGGGGTCATCTCTTCCAACTGCCTCTCCTGGTCTCATGTGTGCTGGTAGGTACTGTGACCCAGTCTGGCCTGGACCTGTCTGCTCCTGTTCCAGCTCACGCTGAGTGGTGCTGTGGCCAGACTCTAGCCTGTCCCACACCCCATCCTGGTTCTCAGATTTGCCAATGGGTGTTACAAACTGGTGTAGCCTGGCCCACCCCCAGACCTGAGCCACAGGTATGCTGGCAGGTACTAATAACCTGGTCCAGTCTGACTGCTCCCAGCCTTAGCTCCTATGAGAAGCTTCTTCGGAGGGCCATCAACCTCTGCTTTCCCAGGCCATAAACAGGGAGCTAGATGGGCAGTGCAGCAGCTGAGACACAAACCAGTGCCTATAAGGGATCCCAATGCTTAGAGGTGGAGGATTAGCCGGTTGAGCCATAATACCAGCCCCACTGACTCTTTTGTCTCTTACTGTGCCTTTCAAATAAATGTTTAAATATAGCATTTTTGAGCGCAAGTATATTACTTGGAGATTATATTAAATTTCTTCTGAAACTTTCTTTGCACAGTTAGCACCTCTAGGTCTTCACATTTATTTACTTTGAGATAGAAAAATAGTTACCAGGCCCAGCGCAACAGCATAGTGGTTAAAGTCCTCGCCTTGAACGTGCTGGGATCCCAATTAGATGCTGGTTCTAATCCCGGCTGCCCCGTTTCCCATCCAGCTCCCTGCCTGTGGCCTGGGAAAGCAGTTGAGGATGGCCCAAAGCCTTGAGACCCTGCACCCGCATGGGAGACTGGAGGAAGTTCCTGGCTCCTGGCTTCGGATCGGCGCAGCAGCAGCCATTGCGGTCACTTGGGGAGTGAGTCATTGAACAGAAGATCTTCCTCTCTGTCTCTCCTCCTCTCTGTATATCTGCCTTTCTGAGAAAGAGAAAGCTCCCATTCTCTAGCTCACTCCCAAGCTATCTAGAATGACAAAGGCCAAAGCCTGAAACCAGGGATTGAGTCAAGGACTCCCGTATAAGCACAGAAATCCTGGGGGTGTTTGTTTGTTTGTTTAAGTTTTATTTATTTTTATTGAAAAGTGAGAGGAGAGACAGAGAAAGATCTTCCATCTGCCAATTCACTCCTCAAGTGGCCATAATGGCCGGAGTTGAACGGTTCCGAAGCCAAGAGCCTGGAGCCCTTTCCAGGTCTCCCATGCAGGTGCGGGTTTCCAAGGCTTTGGCCCATCCTCTGCTGCTTTCCCAGGCCACAAGCAGGGAGCTGGATGGGAAACAGGGCTGCCAAGACACAAACTGGTGCCTATGTGGGATTCTGGCACTACTGCCCCCAGGGTCTGGCTGGTATGACTGCACTGGTAGGAGGCTGGAGCTGCAGGCTTCTCACACCCAGGCCCTTGGACCTGGACTCAAGATGGAATGTGGAGATTGTTGATAACTTCTCGTCATTAGATGGCAGATTGCAGCAAAACAAGGTGGGAAGCAATCAGAGCCTCCATCTTCTGCCCGCTCTAGGCACTGGCCAGGGCAGCCTGCTGTGAATGCTGTATGGCACACATCACATAGTTCTTAAGAAGTACTTTCTCCACCCCTCCCCCTCCACCACCTATTTTGGACATAACTCGGTGTGTTCTGAAGTTCATGAACAGGAACCACACCTGGCCTTGAGTCCTATGTGCTTACTGACCAGGGCCGCTGTCTTGAGCAAGCAGGATGCTCTGCTTGCTTCGCCTTAAGTGAAGTACAAGGGCTTAAGTGACTGAGCCTTGTTCCCTTCTACTCTGATCTCCCCAGGGTTCTGGAGGGCAGACCAGTGTGCCCTTGTCGCTGCTGACAGGTGTTGAATACAGAACACAGTTTGTATCTGCAGGTGTCCGTGTGCTGTGTTTTAAATATAAATTGTTTAACTTCCTGATTGATGTACTCCCTTGAAAGGCAGTGGTTCATTTCCAAACGCTTACTGACAGCCACTGATGGGCCCGGCTGAAGCCAGGAGCCTGGAGCTCACTTCAGGTCTGCTGCATTGTGTGGCAGGCAGCCACCCACTTGAACCACCAACTGCCATCTTCCAGAGAGTGCATTAGCAGGAGACTGAAATTGGTAATAAAGCCCAGAATGAATCTTAGACCCTCTGACAAGGTAGGCAGACATCCAGGAAAGGGTCCTGCTGCTGTACCAAATGTCCACCTCTCAAATATGAATATTTTTAAAATAAACAGCATTTTAATTCCATTTTTAAAAGATGTATTTATTTGAAAGGGAGAGAGATCTCCCATGTGCTGGTTTTTTTTCCGAATGGCCTCAGTGGCCTGGGTTGGGCCAAGCAGGTCTCCCACACGGATGCAAGGCTTAAGGACTTGGGCCGTCTTGAGCCACTTTCCCAGGGTAATAGCTGGGAGGGGGCTAGGAAACAGAACAGCAGGGAATCCAGCTGGCTCGCATATGGTATGTAGGCAACATAGGCTGTAGTTTTAACTTCCTGTGCCACAACATAAGCCCCAGGGCCCAGAATTTCAAGAAGTTTAAATGTAGTTGATACATGAACATAGCACACTCTTTCATACGTTCATGTGTGTCTTTAGAATTCCCATTGCAGTGTGAGCGCAGTCTGCAGTCTCCTGTTTGTCTTCCACTTAATTCTGATGTGATAATTTCCTTTGCTGCTGCTTTGTGGAGCAAGGGTCAGAGAACACTGTGGGCTAGATTTGTCTTTGTAGTAGGTCATAGATGTGAGACTGATGGAAAGGTTCTGGACAATTTACCCTTTGGGCTACATCGCCTGGTTTCTTTCTAACAAAATACTTTCTCCTTTGCAGCTCATGTTCATTCAGAGCCAAGGCCAGGTACAGCTGACCATTGAGCTTCTGGACACTGAAGAGGAGAACTCCGATGACCCTGTGGAGGCAGAGGTATGGGCAGGAGGAGGGCGGAGCATGGCATGGGCCAAGAGACCCCATCAGCCAGGAGACACCAACCCGTCAGGCTCGGATGCTGAGAGCTTAGCCCATTCCTGACTCTACTAACTAGGCCTTGCTGTTGGGGGTTGCTAACAGCCTTGCCACACTCTGCAGAAGTCTCAGGGTGGTCAGCTGTTCACTAATTTCCTGAAGTTTAAGAAACACCAAGTGAGTGCTATCTCCCTGGGGTCATCCTGACTGCTTGTGTCCTGAGAATGTTTTAGTAGGCTGGATTGGAGGCAGGGAACTTTCTTTCTGCCCAGGGCCATTTGGATACTTGTGACACCTTTTACAGGCCATACAAAATCATCAACTTGAACATGAACCTATTATAGATTTATTAGATTGCAAGTCTCGCCTATAGTTGCTTTGAGAGGGGCAGAACTTGTATGGCCCATGGGCCGTGCATTCACCACTTCTGAGCTAGACAGGTGCAGGAGCTAGCCAGTGCAGAGCAGAGATGGGTCTGTATAGAAGGCTGTGGCAGGCAGTGTGGATAGGAATGAGGCCATGTGTATGGTGATAGGGTATAAGGTGAGAGAGACCTGTTTTTCAAAAGTGCTAGAAATAAGATTTCATGTACCCTGTAGGGAAACAGAGCCTGTCAGTGAACAAGCCTCTGTCCATTTGTAACTTCTGGTAACCAAAGCATCTTAGAACCATGAGGGTCTTCCTGGCTGCGAGATGAAAGCATTAGCCACACAGAGGAATGAGCCTGCCATTGTGGAGAGGGGTTTTGTGGTCCTAAGAGCCAAACCCAGTGTCTGTGACCTTCCCCTCTCTGTGTTTGTCCCCAGCGCTGGTCAGACTACGTGGAGCGATACATGAACTCTGACACTACCTCTCCAGAGCTTCGTGAGCATCTGGCACAGAAACCTGTGTTTCTGCCCAGGTGAGTGAGCAGATCACTGACTGCACTGTTACAGGTTTAGGATGGAGCAGTGGGAAACTGCATGACTGTGTCTTGGGGCCTACTCATTATCCCCAGTTCAGGATGCTGGTTCAAGGTTTGTATGGCTGTTGGCCCAGGTGCCTGCCTGGAGCAGGTGTCAGCAGCTGGGAAGTGTAAAGAACTATGACATCTGGGTGATTGCATCACCACCCTGGATGGGAGTCCATCGGTCTGCAAGGCTAGGTGATTTCCCCGGGGGGCCTCACGGAACTGGCACTGTCCACCAGAGCAGAAGGAAGCGCAGAACCAGCAGGCCCCAACACATCCTCTCCAGAGAAGATGTCATGGCTATCCCGTGCGTGCCTCGTGCCCAGCTGTGTCACCATGCCAGATTCACAAGTTGAGGGGTTTTATAGAAGTCCTGCTGTTTGTACAACTCAGGTACAGTGAGCCTCTTCCAGGGTGCTGGGATGCTAGGAAATGCCCCACCATCTGCCCTCCTAGCCTGCAGCCACGAGTCAGGCTTGTAAGCAGGCCTCGTGGGGACTGCTGCCATGTCCCCGCTGTATTGTATACTGTACAAGGTTCTCGCACACAAGTGCAGATGGGCAGCTGATCTCTAGAGCATATCCAAGAACTGAACCCAAAATCTGTTGGTGCTGAAGATGTCACTCACATACCTGTGCCCAAATCAGAGTGCCTGGCTGCTGTGGGCATTTGGAGTAGACCATCCCATCAGAGTCACTGTCTTGGCCTTTCAAATGAATAAAATTCATTTAATTTCTTTATTTGAATGGCAGAGAGATCTTTCTTGTACTGGCTTATTCCCCCAGATGGCTACAACAGCTGAGACAGGACCAGACTAAACACCCTGGTTTAGGATGGAGGCGCTGCCAGCAATGACTTCACCTGCCTTACTAGGATGGCTGGGTTGTTGCAGCTTAAGGTGGTGAGCCATTTGCAACTCCAGCACTTACTAGAGTGATTTATTTCTGTGTAAACCAGGCTTGAACTCCCCAAGATGCTTGAGGCACAGTTTTCATTTGTTACACAGCATGTTAAAAAGATGCGAATTAGGGCCAGAGTTGAGTGCAGCAAGCTCCCCCTTGCAGTGCCCACACCCCATCTTGGAGCGCTGCTCTGCTTTCTGTCCTTGCTGCTGGTGTATCTGGGAAAGCAGCAGGGGATGATTTGAGCTGAGTGGCTGAGAATTTATCAAAGCAGTCAGCATTTGAACACAGGCACAAGGTCACAGACAAGCACCAACTTCTAGGGCCAGTGTGCTGTACCCTGGGTGGAGCACGTCACGGTAGGCTCGTGCAGGTCATTTCTGCCCGCACAGACTTCCTAAACACCTTGGACCTGTGTGGGGTTGTGCTGCTGTGTGGTGCAGGTACATGGGGCCACGTGTCATGCTTCTAGTGACAAGGTGTAGGGACGGTGGGACTGTCCGCTGACACAGTGCCGACTTTGACAAGTTGTTTTGTATGTTTAGATGCAAAAACCAATTGAAGGAGGCTTTTGCAAGGGTTTTGTCAGGATGTGTTTCATGCAGCAGTAAAGAGACAAGTGTACAGTGAGATGATAAAATCCTTGAGGTGTTTAGGGAGAAACAATAAACTATGGTATGATCCTATCTTGTCCTATAAATGAACCCCAGTGCTCTACTCCGGTGGGTAATTACATTTGCATATACACAAAGGCCGGGGTGTTTCAAACAAAACTGTTAAGAGGCAAGTATTGTGGCCCAGTAGGTTAAGTCAGTGCTGGTGAATGCCCACATGTTATACAGTACTGTATGTGTGTCTGTTTTCAAGTCAATAAAAATGATCCACAGTTATCCTGGTGAATCCCAATCAATTAGAAATGTTCAAGACCTGTTAGCAGTGGCTATCTATGCTAGTGCAAGCACAATTTTGGGAATTAGGGGTGGAAGATGGTAGATTTCCACCTTTTTTCTATGTCTGCAATTGGAATTTTTCACACTGAAACTGTTGAACTTTTTTATGCAACTGTAACTCAAAGTGTGGTAAGTGCTGGGAGAGCTGGGGAGCGAGCTGTGTTGGGAAGGGTCTGTGGGAAACCAGCACAGCACTCCCCATGCATGCTTGTTCTGCCTTGTAGGAACCTGAGGCGGATCCGGAAGTGTCAGCGTGGCCGTGAGCAGCAGGAAAAGGAAGGGAAGGAAGGAAATAGCAAGAAGCCCATGGAGAACGTGGACAGCCTGGACAAGCTGGAGTGCAGGTTCAAACTGAACTCATATAAGATGGTGTATGTCATCAAGTCAGAGGACTACATGTACCGGAGGACCGCCTTGCTCCGTGCCCACCAGGTGAGAGCCTGCCCGTCCTGCTGCCCAGCCTCCAGTGCCCTTCGCTTGTGACAAACTGAACCCAAGGAGTAGATTGTTGAGTCTCTGGGTCAGTTCATGTGCTAATCACAGGTACTGAGGCTATGGGACTCAAGCAGAGGTGTGTTGTCTCAGGGCCTGTCAGTGCCACAACCTGTGGCCCCGAGAACCCCTGTCCACGCTGCTGGCCCTGGTGGCATTCCTCCCTGAGTGCCACACTCAGAATGGCCTAGTTCAGCCCAGAAGGACCCCTAACCTGGAGGCTGCTCCCAGGATCAGCTCTCAGGTAGCACCCAGTCATCACTTGAGGAGTCACATTCTGTGTTGCTGGGAAACCCTCAATGCAACTGTGTTGGGCCCTCACTGTCCCACCAGACAGCCAAGTACTGCATGGTACCGCACACAACCCGCTGAAGCTGAAGACACTTCTCTAAGAACCAGTGCCTGAGGTCTGAGTCCTGACAAGGAGGCAGTATCGGCAGAGTTGAGGAAGACCTGCCAGTTGGGAGGCAGGAAAGGCCCTGGCACCTGTGAGACACCAGCAGTGGTTGAGTGTGGAGCTGGAGGAGTGGTAGAGGCAGCATCACCTGCTCTCTTGGGCTGTAATTTGGACTTTGTTTGAGCCACATTGACATCACCAGCTACGCTTGCTCAGCCAGCACTCCAACTGCCAGGCCTAGGGTAAACTGAGATAGCTAGGCAGCATGCAGAAAGGGTTAGGGGTGAGTACAAGGCAGTACTAGGCTAGGCAGACAGCATAACCTTTCTTCTGACCTGGTTAAGTTTGAAAGGACTTGAAATAGTACAGGTGCACATGGACTTGCACCATGCACAGGTGCTTGGTGAACTTCTCATGGAGCTGAAAAACTGGATTACCATACTCCTCACATCTGTGGTTCAGATCCTTGGGTCTGGATAACAGCACTTTGTCTGTCTTGTTTCTTGCATATGGGTGCCAGTAACTGCGTTTCTCATACATAGGTTGGAGAGTAGGGAAAGAGAATGGGATGAGGCCCTCTTTTGGGGCCAGTGGTGTTCCTCCCTGGATTAGGCCACGATCTGTGACAGTGGAATCTCATATCAGAATGCCTATTGGAGTCATTCTGTTCTACTTCCCACCCAGCTCCCTGCTGATGCATCTGGGAAGGCAGTGGGAGACACCACAAGTGCCTGTGGCCTTGAGCCTTGGGCCCTGGGCCCCTTGCACCTGTGTGAAGGGCCGACCTGGGGTTCCTGCTCCAGGAGTGTCTGCCACCATCCATTTTGCCTTAGGGAGATGTTCATCTTTTTGGTCTGCCTTCAGTTTTCTTCTTTCCTTTCTGTTTTGCAGTCTCATGAGCGTGTAAGCAAACGACTACATCAGAGGTTCCAGGCCTGGGTAGATAAATGGACCAAGGAACATGTGCCCCGTGAAATGGCAGCAGAAACCAGCAAGTGGCTCATGGGTGAGGGGTTGGAGGGCCTGGTGCCCTGTACCACCACCTGTGACACGGAGACCCTGCACTTTGTGAGCATTAACAAGTACCGAGTCAAGTATGGCCCAGGGTTGAAAGCCCCGTGACCACAGAGCCCAAGCCCAGACTCGAGGAGTGTGGGGGCACACTTCACCCCTGAGGAAGCCGCAGGCTGCCTCTCAGGCTCCTGGGGCCTCTGGTCAAGGCCACCATCCTGGCCAGCCGTTGGGTGCAGCCTGGCACCCCGCAGGCTCGCATGAGGACAAGGATGCCTGACAGCACTGCAGCTGGACCTTTGCCTGAGGCAGCGTGGGTATCGGGAGCCCGACCGCCCAGAGGAAGGGAGGGAGGCCCATGCCTGCAGAGGCTGGCGGCCTGCTCGCACACACCAGCAGAGCGGAGACTCCAGTTTCCTGTGGCCTGGCTGCAGCTGGGGACCAGGAGGCATGTCGGCAGGACACGTTAGGCAGAGGCTCAAGGTTCCTGTGGGTCAGTGCTGGTGACCACTGCTCATCTTCCCTCTACGGAAGGAGGAAAAGACTGGATTTGATTTTACTTTCTGATCCCTCGAGTACACCCAAAGCCACGCGTTAGGCTTTGTCCAAGAGCCACAGTTTGGCTTTGGGGTGGATCGTTTTGTGGGTCTGGTTCCTGGCAAGTTCTGTGTGGCCTCTCACCCCTCCTGGTTCTCCACGGCTCAGCTCCATCATCGTCCTCGGCCCCCGTGGACTGTTCGGTACCTGCTTCTCGACAGCCTGTCCAGTGCCAGCGCCGGCTTCACCTACACACGCACACACCACAAACACACACATACACACACATACACACAGTTTAAACCTGGATTTTCGTTTTTTGTAAATAATGTACATACTGTCAATTTTTTATTAAAAGAAATATGCTTTGATGTGCTAGCATAACTGCTCCAGCTCCTTGTGTACGATAGTCCCGTGTGGCTTCAGATTTAGTACCTATGAACAGATGTACAAGACCTTTATTACACTTTTTACCAAAGGGAATTCATTGTAGTACTTTTGTGTAAAACTTGTCTCCCCCATCCCCAATTTTTTTTCTTTTCTTTTTTTTTCTTTTTGTAAATAAATAAAAGTGTGGTTCTTAAGGAATGAGTTCTCACCCCAAACCCTTGTCCTCTCCAGAGAACTGTGCAGCAGGGAGTTGGAGCTGCAGGCCCTCATCTAGGGGCAGCTGCAGTTTTGCTTCAAATACATAATTGGCCCTAAAGCTTGTCCCCAGTAAAAATGGAAAATTCCCCCATCATCCTAGTCAGCTAGTGGTTGTGGCCACACTGCTTGACTCCCCAAATGCTTACCACTGCCAGGGCTGCAGGATTGAGCCAGGCCAGGGCTGGACCAAACTGAGAGACTCTGAGAAGGCAGGCTGAGGGACTGCCCCCTCTTCCTTACTTGTAAACTGAAAGTTCCTATTACCATCCAAACCACATGTCAAGTTAGGTTTTTGTCATTGCAGGATGTCAGGTGACTAAGCCAAATAGAAGGCCCCCAAACAGCCTGGGCTAGGTTAGGGGAAGGTGATCTCCCAGGTTTGCTTAGCAGTGAACTCTGTCCGCCTCCGATCCCACTGACCTGCCCTAGCAGTGCTGCCAGCAGGAGTTCACCAACCCTAGACACCTGGCTCCAAGCTCCAAACTGGTGTTTGAGATGACAAGAAAGTGACCCTCAGTCCCATTTGGTAATGGGTACTCCGTCTGCACATAATTCAGGTGAGAAATTGTATAAGCTCAGTATTTCCACTAAAACATAAGGGCCAATGCTGTCTGTGTTGTCTCCCTAGCAACCTTCAGACCCGGACTGCAGCAAAGTAGCCAGTGTGGTGGGGGGTGGGGGTCCTAATTTGTTAATGAGTCCTGGAGCCATCCTGGTCTGTAATCTACCCTTGGAGCCCAGCTCCACATCCGCACCACGGTAGCAAGAGCCAGGGAATGAACCAGCACTGCACAGCGACATGGCCCTTACCCATCCTGAGTGGTCCTGTCTCTGTCCTTGGCTCTCCTGTTGATACTGAGGAATTCACCCTGCAGCCCACTGAGACTGAGAAGCCAGCATCAGAAGCAAAAGCCCTGGGCTCCAATCCTGGCTGCTCTGCTGTGGATCCAGCTCCCTGCTGATGCACCAGGGACATGTGCATCCATGAGGGAGACCAGATGAAGCTCCTGGCTTCAGCCCAGCCCAGCCCTGGTCAATGAGTCAGTAGATGGAAGAGCTCTCGTTAACTGCCTTTCAAATAAAATTTTACAGAATAAAAGTACAGCTCGGGGACCCAGTGTTAAAGCCTCGCCAGTAAAGCCATTGTCTGACACTGGCATCCTATGTTTGGGTGCTGGTTCTAGTCCCAGTTGCTCCGTTTCTAATTCAGCCTCCTGCTAATGTACCTGGGAGAGCAGCCTTGGGTGGCTCAAGTGCTTGGGCATCCTGCCCTCAAACGTGGAAGAAACGCCTGGATCGCAGCCAGCTGGGGAGTGAGGCAGAAAATGGGAAGATTACTCTAACTCTGCCTTTCAAGTATTTGGGAAAAAAAAAGTGGGGGCGCCTGGGCAGAAGTCAGCGCAGCCCCCAAGATGCTAGTTCCTAGGGGCCGGGGGACCAGTCGGTGTCCCAAGAAAAACTCCTCCCTCCCCCGGGTCTTTCTGATCCCGGAACCTTTGGTGCCAGACCAGAGGCTGCACCCGGGCAAGCGTTAGGGCTTCCGGGTGGGCGGGGAGGAGCGCAGTGGGGCCGGGGCGATGGCGGCGGCGCCACCCATCAAACACTGGCGCACCACGCTGGAACGAGTGGAGAAGTTTGTGTCGCCACTCTATTTCACCGACTGTAACCTCCGGGGCAGGTGCGGGCCGAGGGGCCGCCGGGCGGAGGGAGGAGCGTCCCCGGCCGCCGGCGCGCGCACTCACCGGCCCGTCCCCGTCCAGGCTGTTCGGGGAGCGCTGCCCCGTGAGCGCCCTGTCCAGCTTCCTGACGCCCGAGAGGCTGTCCTACCAGGAGGCTGTGCAGCAGGAGTTTAGCCCCGCGCAGGTCGGCGACAGCTTCGGACCCACGTGGGTAACGCTCCGCCCCCGCGGCACCCCCTGCCCCTCAGGGTCCCCGCTGGCCCCATCCCGCCCCTGGACTTGGGCTGTCTTGCAGATGGTGGACTTGCTGGTTCCGGGTGGATCTTAACATCCCCGAGGCGTGGGTGGGCCAGGAAGTTCACCTTTGCTGGGAGAGTGATGGAGAGGGCCTGGTGTGGCGCGACGGGGAGCCTGTCCAGGTGAGTTGCTCCCGTCGGCCCAGGACGTGGCCCTGGCCCCTGGCACAGCGAGCTGCTGCATTCCCAATCTGATGGGTCCCTAGTTCTCAAGTCAACATTATTCCTTTCTAAGAACTTGATTTTATTTATCTGAAAAAGAGAGAGAGAAGCACCTTCCATCTGCAGGTTGAAAGTGGAGCAGCCAAGAGCTGAATTGTGCCCATATGGGATGCCGGGCTCACAGGCAGCAGCTTACCCACTATACTGTGACACCAGCCCCAAGGAAATGACTTCAAACAGTATGAAGTACAAACTCTGGGGGTCCAGTGCAGTGATGTAGCATGCTAACGCTCCACCTGTGGCACTAGGATACCATGTGGGCAGTGGTTCGTGTCCTGGCTATTCCATTCTACTTCCCATCCAGCTCCCTGTTTGTGGCCTGGGAAAAGCATCAGAGGCCTTGGGACCCTGCACCATGCAGGATACCCAAAAGAAGTTCCTGCCTCCTGGCTTCAGATTGGGTCAGCTCTGACCCTTGTGGCCACTTGGGGAATGAACCAGCCAGCCATCTGGGGAGTGAACCAACCAGCTGATGGTTCTTTCTTTTCCTACCCTTCTCTCGCTCAATTTGCCTTTCAAATAAAATAAAATAAATCTTTTTTTTTTTTTTTTTTAATGTAAGGCCTCTTCCCCCACAGACTGGAGGTAGGACTGTTATTTTTCCTGTCCTAAGATGAAGGCAGCACCTGCCTCCTTGTGCCCCTGGTTGGCACCGTGCAGAACATTGGACATGGAGCGTGCAGTGCAGTCAACGTGCCCTGCATTTCGTGGAGCTTCCATTCAGATCAGGCTCCTGGGATGGGCTGGAGCTTTCCGATGTCCTGAGGTCCTGAGACCCTGAGGCCCTGTTGCACTGGCCTCCTTCCCAGGGTTTGACCAAAGAAGGCGAGAAGACCAGCTTCATCCTGGCCGACAAGCTGAGGGAAGGAGACCCCCGGAGGTGAGTGGCTGCTGACGTTCGGGCCTCCCAAGGCTGAGGGGCAGGGGCAGTTCTCAGGGCCCACAGTGCTTGCCAGATGGAAAGGAAGCCACTTTCTGTGGTACCTGTGGAGAAGCATCACGTGAGTGGCTGCTGTTGCCCCGGTGCCAAGGTATAGTGTGTTCTGCTGGCTGAGATTGTATTTCCTGGCTATGGGACACCTGACTTAATACCTCGAATGCGGCCACCTTGTTTGCACGCCTATTGAGTGTGGTCACATGATGGGAATTCAGCTTCCTCTTTATCCATTGGGGTTAGTTGCCATACTCAGAAGTGTAGCACTGGGAAATGGAGGGCCCTGTGGTTGTGAATGGTGTCCAGTTGACCAAGCTGGCATTCCCATTGGAGCAAGAGGGCCAGGCCAGCTAGCTTTGGTCAGTGCAGGTCACAGGGTAGGGCAGAGTGCTGTCCAGCCTGGCCTTGCTGGGGAATTGGGCTCCAGATATGCTCTTGCTATGCAAATGGGCTTCCCAGGCTGAGGCCAAGGGGCTATAGAAATAAGGAGGCATTTGAGAAAGGCCCTGGAAGGTGGGAACAAGCATGGCATGTGTACACACGGCTTCTTACACGGTGTGGGGGACAGCCTCATTGTGACCAATCCTCGCCTTCTACTTCCAGAAGCTTCCTAAGCCCAGACATGTGGCTGGGGTGCAGAGTCCTAAGGCTCATTTAGCAAGGTGGGGACCCTAGCTGAGAAGGGCAGCTGGGCACCTCCCTTGGTCCTAACCCCCAGGAATGGGCGGCACCTCCTCTTTCAAGGCAACGTGCTCACCCAGGAGGCTGATGACAGCCAGGAAAAACTCCACACAGGCTTGAATGTGTTTCCCCTTCCAGGGTACTGGGTGGAAGTGAGGCTTCCAAGAAAGGGGCCTTGATGGGCAATTAGGCATAGTGGAGTGTGTCGCCCCAACCTGCTGCCTCCCCACATCAATACCACACATTTTTTTGTGAACTCTAAAGAACCTCTCCTATGTATAGATTTCAGGATTGTTTGTATCAGAGTAAGCTCATCTTTCTGTTGTACTCTCCACTAACTGGAGCTCCGGTGAAATATTGCCCGGCACGGCAGGGCATGCAGTTCCAGGCGTGGTCCCTTCCTGTCCTTGAAGCTGAACTCTCAGCAGCAGACACCCCTACACTGGGATCCTCCAGGCGGTCAGGGGAGGACTCTGTTGTGCCTTGCCTGGGCCTGAGGTGCCTCATCATGCATGCAGCCTAACCCTGTACGTGGAAGTGGCCTGCACTGGGCTCCTGGGCGCTGGGAAGGGCAGCATGATTGCTGCCCCCGACCCCGACAAGACCTTCCAGCTGAGCCGGGCCGAGCTGGCTGTGTTCCACCGTGACGTGCATAGGCTGCTGGTGGACCTGGAGCTGCTGATGGGCATGGCCAAGGTACGGGGCACGCTCTCCTCCCCCATGTGCCTGGGCCAGCCACAATGTTCCCCAAGTCACTTACTGGGAACTCGGGGAGGAGCTCATGCCTGAGTGTTGGCAGCAGGGTGGGGGATCCCTGCCGAGGTCCCCTGACGGCTCATAAGGAGAATCGTGAAGGCCGTGCTGGACAGGATATTAAGAGCGGACACTCTAGTCCCCTCACCACTTCCCCTGCAGGGCCTCGGGCAGGACAACCAGCGCAGCTTCCAGGCCCTGTACACAGCCAACCAGATGGTGAACATATGTGACCCCTCCAAGCCTGAGACCTTTCCGGCTGCCCAGGCCTTGGCCTCCAGGTTCTTCAGCCAGCATGGGGGTGAAAGTCAGCACACCCTCCATGCCATGGGGCACTGCCACATTGACACAGGTGGGCTGTGGGGATATGGGAGTGGTGGGAGGAGCCCTCCTGGGCCTCAGTTTTCTTGACTGTAAGATGGCACAAGGACACTGGGGAGGCCCTGGGCTGGAGGCTTGGGGGTGGAGACAAGAGCAGAACCTACCCCAGAGCGGAAGGGTGGGGGCCGCCAAGCCCAGCCAAGCTGGTGGCACCCCAGGAGGCTCCTGGGACAGGGTGACCTGTGAACTGAATGGGAATGAGCAAGATTGGCATGCAGCCACAGCACCCCAAGACGAGGGCTGTGTGATGACCTGGAATGACTGGGTCTGTGGTACATGGGCCAGGTGAGGCCTCAGTGGAGTGGTTTGAGCTGACTGCTCAGGGTGCAGGCCCAGGTGGGGTAGGAGCCAGAAGGACCCTTGGAGTTCCACGCAAGGCCTTGCCTCCCCCACAGCCTGGCTCTGGCCCTTCAAGGAGACTGTGCGGAAGTGCGCCCGGAGCTGGGTGACAGCTGTACAGCTCATGGAGCACAACCCCGACTTCATCTTCACTTGTTCTCAGGTGTGTGGGACAGCCACAGGGAGTGGGGCAGGCCTGGGTGCAGGGCTTGCTCCCTCCTGGCCTGACCCCCTCCCCTGCCTCCCACAGGCGCAGCAGCTGGACTGGGTGAAGAGCCGCTACCCTGGCCTGCATGCCCGACTTCAGGAGTTCGCCTGCCGTGGGCAGTTTGTGCCCGTGGGGGGCACCTGGGTGGAGATGGTGAGTGCCCATGGGGTCAAAGCCTTCGCTCCTGTGGCCTGGCCCTCCCTGGGCTTGGCTGGGGACTTCTACAGGCTGTTCTCACACATAATTCATCCTGGAATCCCTGGCACTAACCTTCTGTCATGTGGCAGCCCTGGCCTCACAGCTGGAACTGACCCGCCACCCTCTCCCCTGCCCCCAGGACGGGAACCTTCCCAGCGGAGAGGCCATGGTGCGGCAGTTCCTGGAGGGCCAGAAGTTCTTCCTGCAGGAGTTTGGGCGGCACTGCTCAGAGGTAGGCCAGAAGCCGCCGCACAGGGCTGAGCCGGCAGGGCAGCTGGGGCAATGGGTGCTCTGATCCCCACTCTCCGGGGCCTTTGTCCCACAGTTCTGGCTGCCCGACACCTTCGGCTACTCGGCACAGCTTCCCCAGATCATGCGTGGCTGTGGCCTCAAGCGCTTCCTGACCCAGAAGCTCAGCTGGAACTTGGTCAACTCCTTTCCGGTGAGCAGGGGCCCTGCAAAGGTCACAAGGCCCTGACCCCCACCAGCCAGTAAACCAGGTGCCTCAACCTCACCCATCTGCTGCCCACAGCACCACACTTTCTTCTGGGAGGGCCTGGATGGCTCACGAGTGCTGGTCCACTTCCCGCCTGGTGACTCATATGGGATGCAAGGCACTGTGGAGGAGGTGAGTGGACACCTTGTAGCCTGGAGGGGCCGGTCTGGGGTGCCTGAGGTCGGGGCCTGGGCTTTCCACCCTTTACCTGCCCCTGACCTGCCAGGTGCTGAAGACTGTGACCAACAACCGGGACAAGGGGCGGGCCAACCACAGTGCCTTCCTCTTCGGCTTTGGGGACGGAGGTGGAGGCCCCACGCAGACCATGCTGGACCGCCTGAAGCGCCTGGGCCATACCGATGGGCTGCCCAGGTCAGGCCCACACCCTCAGCCCACCCTTCTACCCACTTGACCACCAGGCCTATGCTGCTTCACTTGGGGTTGGGGAGAGGGGGCTGAGCAGAGAAAGTTCCTGGCCCACCAGGCTGCACCGCCCCTGCATGGCCAGTGCTGGGGCAGGAGCTGGGGTGAACATCAGGCCCATGGTGCCCCCACCCCAGGGTGCAGCTGTCATCCCCAGAGCAGCTCTTCTCGGCACTCGAATGCGACTCGGAGCGGCTGTGCACGTGGATCGGTGAACTCTTCTTGGAGCTGCACAACGGCACCTATACCACGCATGCCCAGGTTCCTGGGGGTGCAAGAGCCCATGTGGGGAGCAGGCCTTCGGTGAGGCACGGCCGGGGAGGGGATCCCAGCACCCCTGAACTGAGGCCTTGCCTCTCCTGACCCGGGTGCAGCTCAAGAAGGGGAACCGGGAGTGCGAGCGCCTCCTGCACGACGCCGAGCTGCTCAGCAGCCTGGCCCTGGCCCGCAGTGCCCACTTCCTGTACCCGGCAGCCCAGCTGCAGCACCTCTGGAGGTAGCTCCCACTCCTGCCTCCCCTAAGCCCTGCCTCTGCTCCCCTCTACCCTGTCCCTGCCTTCTCCAGCCCTGCCTCCCACCCCTAAGCCCTGCCTGCCTCACCTCTACCCTGCCCCTACCTCCTCCAACCCTGCCCCTGTCTCCCTTCTACCCTGCCTCTGCCCCGCAGGCTCCTGCTCTTGAACCAGTTCCATGATGTGGTGACAGGAAGCTGCATCCAGCTGGTGGCAGAGGAGGCCCTGAGCCACTATGAAGGTGAGCCCACATAGCCTGGTGGCCACTCCGGTTCTCCCAGTGCCCCTGGTCGCCTGTGACCAGCTGGTCTTTCCACAGCCATCCGATCCCATGGAAACACCCTGCTCAGTGCTGCTGCTGCAGCCCTGTGTGCCGGGGAGCCGGGGCCCCAAGGCCTCCTCCTTGTCAACACACTGCCGTGGAAGCGCACTGAGGTGCTGGCCCTGCCCCGGCCCGGAGGGACTCACTGTCTAGGTACAGGGCAGGAAAGGGTGGAATCAGGGATACTCCCTGGGCAGCTCTGCCTCCTCCAGCCCAGCCTCATGGAGGGCAGTGGCTGGACAGTGAGGGAGGCCACACTGATGCCCAGGCCTCCCCCCTAGCCCTGGTGACGGTGCCCAGCATGGGCTACGCCCCAGTGCCCGCCCCTACCTCACTGCAGCTCCAGCAGCCCCAGCAGCCTGTGACCGTGGTGCAAGAGGTAAGGCTGGCGGGGGCGGGAAGCTATGCTCCCCAACCTGGAACATAGGGGTCACAGGGTCAGGGGGCCCAGGGATGTAGGCAGCTGCCCTCCAGTCTCTGCCTCATTGCCTCTGCCATGAAGAGTGACGGTTCAGTGACCCTGGACAACGGCATCCTCCGGGTGAGGCTGGACCCGACTGGCCACCTGACATCCCTGCTGCTCGTGGACTCTGGCAGGTACCAACCCCTCACTGCCCTTTCCCACTGCCTGGCAAGTGGATCCCAGACTGCGGGCCCCATTGTCCCTGACCATGGCAGCCCACCAGAGGCTCTGGGCCAGGACCCACTCACAGCAGAGGGCAGGCTGGGCTAGGCGGCTGTCCTGGGTTCTTTCCTCATCCTGCCCAACCGAGAAGAGCTGGAGAGGGTGAAGCCTGCTGGGTATAACAAGCCATTCCCCTGTCCCACCAGGGAGGTCATAGCGGAGGGCGCCGTGGGTAACCAGTTTGTGCTGTTTGATGATGTGCCATTGTACTGGGACGCGTGGGATGTCATGGACTACCACCTGGAGACCCGGTACGGACAGTGCAGGACGTGCGGGGGCCATGGGCTGGGGGCCACCCTGGCTCAGTGCCCCCCTTGCTCTGTCCCACAGGAAGCCTGTGCTGGGCCAGCCAGGCACCTTGGCGGTGGGCGTGGAGGGTGGCCTGCGGGGCAGTGCCTGGTTCCTGCTGCAGCTCAGCCCCAGCAGCCGCCTCAGCCAGGAGGTTGTACTGGACATTGGCTGCCCCTATGTCCGCTTCCACACTGAGGTAGCCAGGGGCAGGGCAGTGGCCGCCTATGGCAGGGGAGGGGTGGGAATGTGGGGCCATCCCTGGCCTGCCTTGTCCCTTCCTTCTATACCATCCCCCACTGCCCAGGTACACTGGCATGAGGCCCACAAGTTCCTGAAGGTGGAGTTCCCTGCCCGTGTGCGCAGCCCTCATGCCACCTATGAGATCCAGTTTGGGCACCTGCAGCGGCCCACACACCGCAACACCTCCTGGGACTGGGCTCGGTTTGAGGTTAGCCAGGGGGCAGGGGGCCCCGGGAAGACTCTGTCGGGGGGAAGGGGGAACGACACATCTGCCTGGCACAGGTGCTGGGCAGCTACCTTGTGCCGACATTGAGCTGGACGCTCATGGCCCTCTGGTGGATGGGTGACGAAGCCGAGGCCCACCTGGACCAGGTGCTGGGGTCCTGAGAACAGGAGCTGTGTGCCCTTGAGGCCCGGGGTTCAAGGCAAGGGGGGGGTCTGCCCCCAGGTGTGGGCCCACCGCTGGCTGGACCTGTCAGAGCATGGCTTTGGCCTGGCCCTGCTCAACGACTGCAAGTACGGCGCCTCGGTGCATGGCAACGTCCTCAGCCTCTCGCTGTGAGTGGGGTGTGCCCCCCACTGGTGGCTGCCCTTGGCCCTGGGACCTGGCGAGCAGCCTCACACCAGCCTTCCACTTCTAGCTTGCGGGCCCCTAAGTCCCCAGATGCCACGGCAGACATGGGGCGCCACGAGTTCACCTACGCACTGATGCCACATAAAGGTGAGTTCCCCGGGGAGGTGGCCGCTCGGCCCTGCCTCTAGCCCCGAAACACCCCACTGTTCTCATTGGACCCCATGTTCCAACCCGTGCCCCTTTCTGGTCATGGTCCAGGCTCCTTCCAGGACGCCGGCGTCATCCAGGCTGCATACAACCTCAACTTCCCGCTGCTGCCACTGTCCGTGCCAGGCCCCGCGCCGGCCACCGCCTGGAGCGCCTTCTCACTGTCCTCCCAGGACGTCGTGCTGGAGACGGTCAAGCAGGTAAGGGGCGGGGCCTGCGCTGGGGGCGGGGCCTGAGCTGCAGGGCGGGGTCACCCGCACCCGCCCACCGTCCATCCCGTCCGCAGGCAGAGCAGGAGCTGCCCAGCCGCGCGCTGGTCCTGCGCATGTACGAGGCCCACGGCAGCCACGTGGACTGCTGGCTGCACACGGCGCTGCCCGTGCAGGAAGCCATCCCGTGAGTGGCGACCTGGGGTCGGGGGGCGATGGGGTTCGCTCCTTTCCTGCCTGCCCCTCACAGCCACTCCTGTCCTGCAGCTGCGACCTCCTGGAGCGCCGAGACCCTGCTGGCCCGCTGCCCCTGGAGGACGGCCGCCTCAAGCTCACCTTCTCTCCCTTCCAAGTGCGGTCCCTGATACTCGTGCTGCAGCCTCCTCTGAGCTGAGCCGGGCACTGGCCGCCTCTTGTCAGTGAATAAATGCCTGGATGGAAAGGCAGCTGCTGGCGTGCCTTTCACAGCCTAGCAGGTGGAGTCAGGGTCTGGGGACACCTGTGCGAGCTCCGTGCTGGCTGCTGGCCCAGGGGTGATCATGGGATAAGAAAAGGGTGGGTCTGGCTGGGGCCAGTTGGGAGGAAGGCTTCAAGTCAAGGCCAGGCCTTGGGGCCTCTGCGGCTAGCCCAGGTGGGGCCAAGGTCAGGTTTCTTCATTTATTTAAAATATAGCATTTTCCATGTGGGCTTTAAAAAATGCCAAAATAGGGCACCAATAAACCATCACAGGGGTGCAGGGAGCAGCCCCCACAGAAGGAACCTCCACTAGGAGGCAGAGACCACCTCTGGCTCCAGGGGTGGGGGCTCGGGCTCAGCCTTCTTCCGGGCTCTGCGGCGGCCTAGAGGAAAGATGGGGAAGGCTTGTTCCTGCCAGGGGCCAGGTTGAGGCCCCCTGGCTCCCTGTTCACCTGTCCACTCCCCGGAAGGCCTCAGACAGCCCACCTGAGGCCACCGGCTGCCCCTTCCTGCTGCCCTCCTCAGCTGCTTGTGGGGACTGCTGGGCTGGCGTCTTCAACAGATGCCTCTTGGCCCTTGGTTTCCTGGCAGGGGCCTTGCATGGAGATGGGGGATCCTGGATCAAGGAGGCAGAGGTCCCGTGGGCTCAGGGGGCACTCCAGGGGTGGCTGGGCGACCCCCGGTACCCTCACCCCCTCCGCAAGGGCAGACCCCCATACCACTGTCCTGTCCACAGGGTCTGGCTGTGGCTCCCGGGGTTTCTTCTTGCGTGACTTGCCCCCTACAGGACATGGGCGTTTGGGTCAGAGGGTCCTCTGCTCCCAACTCCCACCCTGTGGGTAAGCAGGCAGGGTAAGGCAGTGCTTTCCTGTCCACGGCCTTCACACTAGGGGCAGCTTACCTTTGGGCACCAGAGGCCCTGGGTCCCCCTGCAGTGGAACAAGGACGTTTCAGGAGTGGGGCATCACCACTATCCTCCTGCCTCCCCTTGTCCCCCTGCCCAGCAGCATGGATGTCCGCAGTGCTACCCCATCAGGGGTCCCCAGCTCCTCCCCTGCCCGGGTCTCGGGTCACCTGGAACCACATGGTGCGGCCATGCCGGTCCTGCAAGCTGCTCATGCCAGGCACACCATAGCACCGCAGCCAGGCCCTGAAGGCAGCGAAGTCTTCTTCCCCGTGCTCCGGCCCGTAGCCCTTACCACCTGGGGGACAGGAACCAGGCAGGGTCAGAGCAGGCCTGACCCGCACAAACTTTCAGGGCAAGTCTGAGGGCTGCGTCCTCCCTCCCACTCGTTGAACTGCCTGGCGCCTCCCCATCTGGCATGGCCCGGCTCTCACCGAGCTGCACCACCTCCTTGGGCACCAGGTGGCACAGCTCCAGCAGGTCTGGGTTCTGCAGCTTGGCCTTGACTTTCTGGCTCAGGGTCAGCTCTGGGCTCTGAGAAGTGCAGGGCCTGGGTCAGCACACCCCCTCTGCTTTCCTGACCCCCTCCCCAGCATGCACACACAGTTGGAGCAAGCCGTGACACCAGAGAGAACCCGACGTGCGCTGGCCACTCACCGGCCGCCGCTGTCGCAAGGCCTCCAGAACCGTGCGGGCCTTCTCGAAGGGCGGGATCCTCAGCCTGCAGGGGAGGCGGGCAGAGAGACATACTAAGCCTGGGACTCTGGGCATACGAGGCCTCCCTGCCCTGGTGCCCATAGCCACAACTCACCGGAACAGAATCTCTGCCCGCAGGTAGTTGCCGATGCCATTGAAGAACCGCTGGTCCAGGAGGGCTTCGCAGATGGGCCGGTCAAAGGCCTTGTCCGCCAGGTTCCGCAGCACATTCTCCCTGGGGGAACACAGTGGCCTGAGCAGGCCAGCCCCACCCCTGTTCCTCACAGAGGGGACCCCAGTGCCCGTCTGCCTGCTCATGCCTCCTGTCTGGGCAGCTGCGGCTGTTTCCTTGGTAAATAGGATTGGGATGCAAATCAAAATGAGGGACACAGCTGAGGGCCCGTGGGGCGCGGTGTGTCACTGCACACCGCTGGGACCTGCTCTCTAGGACTGGGCCGGGCTGTGGAGCAGGTGTGGAGCTGACCTCAGCGGGTTCTGCTCTCAAGGGCTGGAGGGCAAGTCGCGGCACCTTCCCCTGCAGCCCTGCAGGACAGGCTCCTCTGGCTGGCCAGGCTTCAGTGTCCTCCTCCCCCCTCACCTAGGGGGCTGTCTCCTCATCTTGTGCTTGTCCCTGTGCCCAGACCACCCAAATACTCAAGCAGACCGGGCAGTCACAGAGGAAAACCACAGGACACAGACCAGTGGGCAGGCAGCACGTGGGAGATCACAGAACCAGTGTTCGGAAGCTCTAGCTATTGCTGCGCTGAAACAATTCTCAACAGCGCTCCTCCGCGAGGGACCCCGCCCCCTCCTCGGCCCCCTGGGAACCTCAAGAAGCAGCTGTGCGACTTCATGGTTGATTCTGACCCGCCCGGGCCAGGCAACCCACCTGCACGTCCGTCCCTACCTGAACTGCTCGTACTCCAACAAGACGCAGGGCCCGCGGCCCGGCTGCCACTCGCCCCCCAACTCCCAGTGGCCGAAGCGGCGGACGTCCACGAAGCACAATGCGAGCCGGGGGCCCGGCGGGGCGGTGTAGAAGCGCAGGTGGGCATGGCGCGGCAGCTCATCTGCCGGCACCAGCTGGAAGGAGCCGGTCATGCCGAAGCGGAAGACCAGGGCCAGCGGCTCCTGGCATGGCCCGGCCCCGGGCAGCGGTCGGAGCCACAGGCGCAGCTCCTTGCCGCGTGCCAAGGCAGAGATGCGGTAGGCGCTGCTCTCGAAGGGCACCTCGGGGTTGTGACTGACGGCAGACTTCTCCACGCGCCCGCCGAACACCAGCCCCTCGCACGCCTCGTTCACGAAGTGGCTGGCCAGTTGCAGCTCGGGGCCCTCGGGCATCCTGTGCGGGCAGGACAGCAGGTCGGGCCGGGAGGGCGCCTTGTGCAGTGGGGACTGCCGGTCCCCTTACAAAGAAAAGGCGGCGGGTCGGAGGGGGCGCGGCCGGCTGCTTTGGCCACAGACCGTGCTCCAAATCGCTGCAAGCCCGTACCCTCGCGGCCCATTCCGGCCCCTGTCCTCGCAGGCAGCCGCCCTTCCTCTCCGCCCCTCCGCTAAGGACGCAGCCGGAGCGCCAGAGGTAGCCAGGACACGCTGCGGGCGGCGTCCGGCACCAGGGAACCGGTGAGGCCGAGGGACGCACGCTCGTCCTGGCCTGCGCCTTCCTGGGCTCTCTCCGCGTCCCGGCGGCCTCCTGGCCAGCAGAGTCCACCCTCCGAACTCCTCGTTGCGCTGGGGAGCGGCGATCTGTGGCCGCGGCCTTGTTCTCGGTGAACCTAGCCCGCCAGACCCCGGGTCTACCTCAAGTCTTGCCTGCGCCTGCATTGTACCTTCGTGAGGGTCGAGAAGGGGTGGGGGGGTGCGCTCGCCGCAGCGGCGCCTGCTGGGAAGTGTAGTTCCCGGGGCTGTGTCCTGGCTGGGGGCGCTCACCTGGGGCAGGGGGTGCACTGGCTGCACGGTGCCCGGCGCGGCGAGGTCTGGGGTCTGATCCGAGACCCGTGCTCAGCTGATTGCGGTTGCAGGAAGTCACCCGGCTGGTCCCGTTTAGGGCCGGCCCCGCCCCGCTCGCCCAGCGACAGCCCAGGACCGGGGCGCCTGCAGCTGTGCCTGGCACGCACAGGTGCGCACTCCACGCGGGCCCTAGGGACCCGGGGTGGCCCCCAACAGGGTGCCCACCACACGGAAACGTACACATCCGGGTCGCCTGTCTGGTGACAACTACAAACAAGGCATTAAGAAGTCGGAGCGGGAAGGTAGAGTTCCCTGGGGCTGGGAGGGGAAGAGTGCCGCCCAACCACACCACCTGGCAGGGGAACAACCACGGAGTCCACGGAGAGAACCCGCCGGAGTCTGTGACTACAAAGCGGCCGCCTGTGGTACTGCTGGGAGGCGAGGACGGGGAAAAGAGAGGCCAGGCCTTGGGCGTGTGTGTGTGTGTGTGTGTCTGCGTGGGGAGTTTGCTTAGCAGCCACTGGTGCCTGACCCACAGCGCTGCCTGCCTGTCTTGGCACCACTTCTGCTTCCCCTCTATTTATTCCTGTGTTTTGGCAGAAGTATTTTAGGGTATCTTACGCAAATAACGCTGCTTCACGCCCATTTAGCAGCCTCCCAACACCTGAAAAGCAGTCCCCGGCCAGCAAGGTTGCCATGTCTGCTCTGGGAGAGGTCCTGTGAACCCAAGGCAGGTTCTGACGAAGGAACAAGACTTCAAACCTCTTATGGAAGTAGCAATTAACCAATCTTGATTTTAATACAAAACAATTTAAAGACCAAGCATTTTTTTCTTTCATAATCCAAAGGACCCTCACCTGTTAATATATATATATATATATATATTCTCCCCTAAAAGTGTGTGTGTGTATATATACATAATATATATATAATTAGAAAAAAAAAAAAAAGACCTACAGAGAGCTCTTTCCCCAAGTGGCTGCAACAGCCAGGGTTGAGCTGATCCGAAGCCAGGAGCCAGGAGTTTCTTCCGGGTCTCCCATGCGAGTTCAGGATCCCAAGGTTTTGGGCTGTCCTATATACTGTTTTCCCAGGCCACAAGCAGATGAGCTGGATGGGAAATGGAGCAGCTAGGACATGAACCAGTGCGACATGGGATGCCTGTGCTTGCAAGGGGAAGATCAGCCATTGGCCCATCGTGCTGGGCCTCTCACCTTCTTGTCTTCAAATCCAGACGAAGCCCTTCCCCTGCCCATGCCACTCTTTGGTGGTCTTCAGGAAAATGACCACTTTGATGGGCCCAGCAGGCAGTGTGGAGTGGCGAGGGACAGGGCTCCGTCCTTATGTGACACTGGGCCCCGGCGTGCTGCCTGTCACTGCAGATGTGTGCACCTGTGGGGCCCCTGCAGGTGCTGCCTGGGGTGCACAATGCAGTGGGTCAGGGGGAGCCGACACCTGCAGGCTCATGAGAACCGTGCTGTGTTGTCAAAGTTCCTGTCACACTCTGTGACTGCCCAGTAATCCCTGTAGTGACATCCTGCTGTTCTGCTCAAGTTTACACCAGGATGAAAACAGTACCACTCACCCTTTTTAGAATGCGAGTTTTTGAGAAATGCATTGGGCTGTGCAGAACACAACATACAGCAGATGCTCACAGCAGCCAGGACACCTGTCCAGCAGGGGCTTTTTTAAAAAATAAGATTTATTTATTTACTTATTTAAGTGGAACAGCTGGAACTCAAACCAGCACCCACAGGGGAAACCAGCTTTGCAGGTAGTGGCTTTACTTGTTATGTCACAACACCGACCCCTAAACTTTTTACACATGGCACAGGGGCAGGCAGTATGGCACAACTGAGTCAGCTGCGGCTTAGAATGCCCACATGCCATGTCAGAGTGCCTAGGTTTGTGTCCTGCTCATGCACCCTGGGCAGCAGTAGGGCACACATCACCCCAGGGACTGGGCTCCTACCCCCACACAGGTCACCTGGAGGAGTGCCCACTTCAACCAGCGCTGCTTTTTGCAGCCGCCTGAGGGAATCAATGCCTGAGACATCTGTCTCTCTGCCCCCCAAGTAGATGAAAGCAGTCAATAAATTCATGCTTCTAAGGGTGATACACACGCAGTGAAAACTACTGGACTGTCCAAAATAAAAAGGAAAAATAAATTAAAATAAGCAAATGAACCTGGGCTTGGTACCACACTATGAAAAAGCATCCTGGGCCCGTTGCTGTGGCCTAGCAGCTAAAGTCCTTGCCTTGAACACACCAGGATCCCATATGGGGCACCGGTTCTAATCCCAGCAGCCCCACTTCCCATCTAGCTCCCTGCTTGTGGCCTGGGAAAAGCAGTCGAGGACAGCCCAAAGCTTTGGGATCCTATACCCACGTGGGAGACCCGGAAGAGGTTCCTAGTTCCTGGCTTCAGATTGGTGCAGCATTGGCCATTGTGGTCACTTGGGGAGTGAATCATTGGACAGAAGATCTTCCTCTCTGTCTCTTCTCCTCTCTGTTTTGCAATAAAAATAAATTTTTCAAAAAAGAAAAAGAAAGAAAAAGCATCCTAAACCTTGGTCTGCAGTGTTAGCACCCCACATGGGTGCTAGTTTGAGTCCTGGTTGCTCCACTTCCCATCCAGCTCCCTGCTTGTGGCCTGGGAAAGCAGTCGAGGACGGCCCAAAGCTTTGGAACCCTGCACCCGTGTGGGAGACCTGGAAGAGGTTCCTGGCTCCTGGCTGTGGATTGGCAAGCTCCGGCTGCAGTGGCTACTTTCTTTCTTTCTGCCTCTCCTTCCCTCTGTAGATCTTATTTTCTAACAATAAAAATTCTTCCACATACAATCATATATGTGACCTTGAGGATGTGTGCTAAGTGGCAGTACTGCATGCTGCCTTTCTAAGAAGTATCTTCAGACCCGCTGCAGTAGCCATGCGGCTAAAGTCCTCCCCTTGCACACACCAGGATCCCATATGGGCACCAGTTCTAATCCTGGCTGCTCCACTTCCCATCCAGCTCCCTGCTTGTGACCTGGGAAAGCAGTCGGGGACGGCCCAAAGCCTTGGGACCCTGTACCCGTGTGGGAGACCCGGAAGTGGCTCCAGACTCCTGGCTTCTGAATGGCTCAGCTCCAGCTGTTGCAGTCATTTGGGGAGTGAACCACTAAATGGAAAACCTTCCTGTCTCTCCTCTTTGTATACCTGAATTTCCAATAAAAAAATAAATCTTATAAAAACAAAAGTATCATCAACAGTCAGGATGTAAGTGGCTGGCTCACAGCTGAGCTCACCGTATCTGTACTGGTGGTGCCCGAGTCCAGTGTCCAGCTCAAGTTCCCGACCCCGGGAGGTGGGGGAAGAGCCTTGGCTGGCGCTACACACGTGGGAGACCTGCATGGACCTCATGGCTCCCACCAATTCAGGAGTTAGGGCAATGACCCCTAGACAGCTGCCTGGCTCTCAAAGTAATTGTCAACACAGCCAAACCTAGGGGCCAGTGTTGTGCCGTCACCATCTCTCATGGGCACTGCTTGGGGTCCTAGTCATTCCACCTCTGACCCAGCTCCCTGGGGAGAGATGTCCCAAGTGCTTGGGCCCCTGCACTTGGGAGACCCAGAGGAAGCTCCTGTGACCTGATTTGGCCATGGCTGTTGGGGAATTTATCTGCAAATGGAAGATCTACCCCCTGCCTTTCCCTCTTTCAAATAAATGAATAAACCTTTAAAACTTAAAATAACGAGAGACTTTATGTGGCATAGCAAGTTACCATCTGTAACTTGAGCATCCCACCTGTGCAGCAGCTTCTGAACCAGCCTGCTGCTAACACACCTGGGAAAGCAACAGCAAGATTACCCAAGTGCTTAGGCCCCGCACCCACGGAGGGCTCACTCTCCAAGCGGCTGCGATGGCCAGAGCTGCTTCTTCGGGGTCTCCCTCAGTGGGTGGCAGTGTCCCAAGGATGTGGATCATCTGCTGCTGCTTTTACGGGCACATCAGCAGGCAGCTGGACCAACTTGGAGCATCCAGGCCTTGAACTGGTGCCCATATGGGATGCCAGCAGGTGGAAACTTAGCCTGCTACACGATGGTGCCTGCACCAATAAACACATATTCCAAAAAAGAGAATACTTTATTAGGTGTGGTGGCTATACAATCATGGAAACTCGATCGCCACTCAGGCTAGTGAAGGAGGTGAATCGGTAAGAACCAATATGGCGTGGGACATCATGGGCAGTACCAGAAGCAGGGCTGGGACTTCAGGGTAACACAGAGCAGGAGGGGGCTGCCTGGGGCAGCAGGCTAGTGTTCTACAAAAAAGATGATTTATTTGAAAGACAGAATGAAAAGACAGGGAGGTCGAGGGGGACTGCTTCCATCCCCTGCTTCACTGCCCAATGGCCATGACCACCAGGGCTGGGCCAGGCTGGAGCCAGGAGCCTCCTGCAGGGCTCCCCCATGGGTGCAGGGGCTCAAGCACTCGGACCATCCTCCACAGCCTTCCCAGGTGCACCAGCAGTGAACTGGACTGGAAGTGGAGCAGCCGGGGCTCAAAATGGTACTCTGTTGAGGTGTTGCACATGGTGCTGGCCCCGGAACTCAGTTCCTTGTAACTTTCTATTTTTGCATTTCTCTTTCCCTTCCATGGGATGCCGGACCGTTTTTTAACCCCCTAAAGACTGAGAAACACACATAGTCAGGGCAGCAGGAAACCGGCCTGGGGGGCTGAAACGAAGGGACATTTATTGCTCACAGTACTGGAGGTTGGGAGTTCAAGCCCGGGCTCTGGCAGCCTTGGGGCATGCCAAGGAGCCTGGCACGGCTCCCATCACTGCTGAGCATGCCCAAACAGGTCCTGCTGTCGTCCTACAGAAGAGGATGGAGAGAGCAGGACCCCATCTGTCCTGGAGGACCCCAACATCCTCAGGGGTCGTCTCAGACATGCAGCTCCATTGCGGTCCTGTCTGTCCGAGCCTGGGCTTGTGGCCACTGGTGATGCACAGAGGCCCTCGACCTAGCTGTGTCCTCAGCCCAAGGAACTCATAAGGGTGTTGGCCTGCTTCAGCTCTGCAGGAGCAAAGGTGGTGGGTGAGAGTTGGCTGGGGGAGGGGGACAGGGAGGAGGGCCCCTCGCCCCCAGGGCACACAGCCTCACCTGCTAGCAGCACCTGGAACTTGTCTGCTGACAGGGTCAAGACCAGAGGCTCGGCCGTTGCCCCCGGCGTCTGTGCCACCTCCAGCCGCAGCTGTACCACAGGCTCCTCCACGGAGCGCAGCAGGCTGGAGCTGAGGGTGTAGTCCACCCGCCAACCCACGCCCACCAGCCTGTTCACTGCAGGGCGGGACAGAATCAGGATCATGGGGTGGGCCAGTGGGGTGCCCCAGACCTCATTCCAGGGATCCAATGGCCCCAGCCTGCCCCCCAACTCACCACGCAGGCTGCAGGCCCGCAGCTGCTCCTGCAGGGGGCTCTGCTTCTCCTCGTAGCAACGGCACAGGGTGGCTGCATGCTCTGGGGGTACAGAGGGCACTAGTTAGGGCACCCCTTGGGATGCAGGGCCCAGTGGCTCCCCGTCTGCCTGCCCGCGTCCCCACCCTGTACCTTTGGGCAACCCCAGCTGCTGCAATTCACTAGACAGAGACTCGCTGTCCACACTGTGCTTGGCTGCGCTGGACAGGATGAAGCTCAACACTGCCACGGTGGCCTTCACGTCGCCCGACTCTGGGGGCACGGGAGTGGGGGTGTCACCGCGGCCCTGGCCGCCTATGTGTTGCTCCACTCTCTTCAGCTTGGGGCCCCTGGGGCCTCCCCATGCCACGCATAGCCACTGCCCCACTCCAAGCCAGCAGAGGGACAAGGCCTGGGAGGAGGGGGTCTCTGGCTGGGCACGCAGGGTGGCACTCACCAAACTTGGCATCAGCAGTGAGTTTCAGGATCTTCTCATACTATGGGGAAAGGAGACACTCAGGGGTGCTGAGCACCCCAAAGGCCAGGCGCCCACCCCTCGCCCTGGCCCTCTACTTCCCAGAGCAAGGTGGGGCCTGCACTCACGTCAATCTCCTGACCCAGGAGCTCCTTCAGCACCTGGCCACACAGCAGCCGCAGCTTCACCGAGGACTGGGAGGGAAGGTGGCAGGTGAGCACCCCTGCCATGCACAGCCCTGCCGGCTTAGGGAACAGCAGGCCAGGGAAGGGGAGCCCAAGAACAGGGGTGCAGACTGGTGAGGCGGGAGGGGCAGCACCCCACCCCCCACCCTGTGGACCCTGGGCACTCAACAAGCTTGGCCAGCGTGCTGATCTCCGCCAGGACCCAGTCGGGACAGTCAAGGTCGCCACAGAACCGGAACCTCTATAAGACAGCAAGGGAGTGGCCCTGAGGACGTTGCCACTTGGGGCCATAAACCTCTCTCCCGCCACTTGTGCCGCCACAAGCCTTGTCCCGTTGTCTTGTACTCCTCGAGCAGCAGCATCCATTGGGTGGTTATCTCAGTGGGGGGCCATGGGAAACAAAACCAAGTCCCAGCTTTGGGGCCCGGGGTGACCTCTCCTGGCTCTGGCCCCGACAGCAGCCCGGGTGTGGCTGGCTCTCTGCCCAGTCCAGGTCAGTAGTCAGACCCCTGCCCCATAACCCTCAGCGACCATACCCTGAAACGGTCCCCTGAGAACAGTGCATAAAATTCTGTGCAGCACCATGTGAGTGCTGGTTGGAGTCCTGGCTGCTCCACACTTTGGGTCCAGTTCCCTGCTAATGTGCCTGGGAAGGTGGCAGAGAATGGTTCAAGTTTTTTTTTTTTTAAGATTTTTTTTTTTAATTTTTATTGCAAAGTCACAGATCTACAGAGAGAAGAAGATACAGAGAGGAAGATCTTCTATCCACTGGTTCACTCCCCAAGTGGCTACAACAGCTGGAGCTGAGCCAATCTGAAGCCATGAGCCTGAAGCCTCTTCTGGGTCTCCCACACGGGTGCAGGGTCCCAAGGCTTTGGGCCGTCCTCCACTGTTTTCCCAGGCCACAAGCAGGGAGCCGGAAGGAAAGTGGAGCAGCCAGGATACAAACTGGTGCCCATATGGGATCCCAGAACTGTAGCCACAAGACTACTGTGCTGGGCCCTCTCTAAGTAATTCTGAATTTCGGATCAATAAATACATCTTTAGAAAATAAAATTTTGGGCTTGAGCAATGTCTCAGTAGCTAAATCCTCCCCATCGTTTCAATCAAGAGTGAGAGAGACATACAGACGAAGCTCCTAGCCAGAAGTCTGCGATGGCCGAGCCCCAGGCTGGGAACAGAGCCCGCTCTCGGGTCTCCCAGACCGACTGGGGACAACCGAAGCACGCGGGCACCTCGGCCCAGGGCCCCGTGAGGGCTGGCCTTCGGCTGCCATCCTCGGGGGCGCCCCTCCACGCTGCACAAGGCCAGGCTCCGGGGGTCGTCCCCGCGGCCGCCCAAGCCCAGCTCATCCCGCAGGTCCCTCGGGCGGCGGGCAGCTCGGGCCGTCCTCCCGGAGCCCTGCCCTGGCGCCACCGGACGCTCCGCACGCGCTGCCTTCCCCACTTCGTCCGCCCAGGGCCGCCGGCGCCCCGGCCTTCCCGCCCGGCACCCACCGCCTCGCACCCTCTTCACCTCTCACCATCGCGCCTGCAAGCCTGGACGCAGCAGTCTCGGCTTCCGCCCGCGCAGAGTCAGCTGGGCGTGCGGTCACGTGACCCGCGTTTGGAGTGGCCGGAGGGGGTGTGGCTTGTGAGGGCGAGCGGGAGCAGGCGCGCCCCCTGGAGGACCGGGGGACGACGTGCGGGGAGGGGACAGACAGAGTGGCCGCCTGGACAGGACCCCGGGAGCCCGGTGTGCTCAGTCGTGTGCACGTCTCCCCCCATGGAGCAGTAGTCCCGTTATACATTGCTGTGGGCTGTGGCCTATATTAAAACGTTATTGAAATTTTAAAAAGTTTTTGAAATAAAACACGTACAAAAACATACATGCATAGTGTCCATTGCAGTGAATTTCTAAAAAAAAAATGCCTGCCCTAGGCCTGGCGCAGTAGCCTAGTGGCTAAAGCCCTTGCCTTGCATGTGCTGGGATCCCATATGGACACTGATTCAAGTCCCGGCTGCTGCATTTCCCTCCTATGCAGCTCCCTCCCTGTGGCCTGGGAAAGCAGTCAAGGACGGCCAAAGGCTTTGGACCCTGCACCCATGTGGAAGACCTGGAAGAAGTTCCTGGCTTTGGATCGGCTCAGCTCTGACCGTTGCAGCTACTTGGGGAGTGAATCATCAGACAGAAGATCTTCCTCTCTGTCTCTCCTCCTCTCTGTACATCTGACTTTCCAATAAAAATAAATAAATCTTTTTTAAAAAATTAAACCAAAAAAATTCTGCCCCATGCAGCTGCAGACAAAGGCACCTTGATGACCAGTACTCCCAGGAAGGGCCATGGCCACATTGCTTTCCTTAAATGTGTCCCCTTGTCACAGAACACCCTCAAAATGCCAAGACATCACTTCTCCACCTTTCCCTGACACCCAGGCATGGGGAGGAAGCTGCAGCCAGGCAGCCAGTTCCACAGCGCCAGCTCCCAGGAGGCAGAGGGCCAGAGTCCTCAGGGACAGACCCCGGGCTGAGAGGCATGTCCAGGTCATGCCCAGGTGCCTGGTCAGCCCGCTATGCTGTAGTCCTCTCCTGGGGGAAAGGGGTGTCGTGTGCCTCAGGGGACCTGGATGGCCGCCAGCTCGGCTCCCGGGTCAGTCTGGGAGCAGGCAGATGTGCAGGGCATCGTGTCTGTCTGCTCAGGTCCTGGGGTTCTAGAGGCGAGGCCCTGCATCCAGATGTCACCAACACGGGAGACATACATCCTCACAGCTCTTGTCATCAGGGCTGCTGCATGCCTCCCTCAATTCAGTAAAAGCAAGGCCAGGAGACACCAGGCTGGGAGAGCGGACACTGGGTCTCCCCCTTGGGCAGCCACTGGCCCCTTTCTGAAGCATTGCCGGCACTAACCGTTCATCACATGAAAGGCAGATTGATGGAGAGAAGCAAAGACAAAGATCAAAAGATTTTGCATCCACTGGTTCACTTGCCAAATGGCCACAATGGCCAGAGCTGAGCCAATCCAAAGCCAGGAGCCAGGAGCTCTTCCGAGTCTCCCACATGGTCCCAATGCCTTGGGCCATCCTCGACTGCTTTCCCAGGCCACAAGCAGGGAGCTGGATGGGAAGCTAGGCCACTGGGACAAGAATCAGTGCCTTGGGCCCGGCGTGGTGGCGCAGTGGTTAAGGTCCTCACCTTGCACTCCCGGGATCCCATATGGGCGCCAGTTCTAATCCCAGCAGCCCTGCTTCCCATCCAGCTCCCTGCCTGTGGCCTGGGAAAACAGTCAAGGACGGCCCAAAGCCTTGGGACCCTGCACCTGTGTGGGAGACCCAGAAGAGGCTCCTGGCTTTGGATTGGCTCAGCTCCAGCCATTGTGGCCGTCTGGGGAGTGAATCATCGGACGGAAGATCTTCCTCTCTGTCTCTCCTTTCTGTATATCCGCCTTTCCAATAAAAATTAAAAAATAAGTCTTAAAAAAAAGAATCAGTGCCTATATGGGATCCCAACATGTGCAAGGTGAAGATTTAGCCACTAGGCATCATACCGGGCCCACAGGGTTGAGTTGATCTGAAGCCAGGAGCCAGGAGCTTCTTCTGGGTCCCATATGAGTGCAGGGTCCCAAGGACTTGTACCATCTTCCACTGCTTTCCCAGGGAAGGACATTAGCAGAAGCAGAAAGTAGAGCAGTCAGGAATCAAACTGGCACCTATATGGGTTGCTGGCACTGCAGGCAGAAGATCAACCTGTTGAGACACTGCACTAGCCTCCATCCATAATGATGTATGTGTTTATTTGAAAGGCAGAGTGACAGACAGACAGAAGGAAAGACAAAGTGATTTTCCATCCACTGGTTCACTCCCTCAGTGATTGCCACAAGCCAGGCCAAAGCTGGGAGCCAGGAACTCCATCTGTGCTCCTGTTACGGGTGGCAGGAACCTGGGCCCCTGGCAGGGAGCTGGACTGGAAGTGGAAGGAGCCAAAACTCAAAAAGGCGGTGTCATAGCAGGTCAGCTTAAACACACTGTGGTACAGCACCAACCCTTTAATAAGGGTTTTTGAAAACTAAAAGAGCAAACAGCAAAGTAACTGCGGACAAATTATTTAAATTTGGAAAGCAAGCAAAAAAGCAAAATAAATAAATAAATAAAGGTGAGTGGCATGTCCTTTTCACGTCATATTGTGGTCCTGTTTCGGAGAGATTTGTTTCACAAATGTAGGCCACCGGAATCATCTGCAGGTGCAGCTTGCTTGGCCCGCCCCTGCCCTCCTCCACACCTACACCACCCTCCCCACCCCCTCCCTCCCGGTGTCTGCCTCTGCAGGCCTGAGGTTGACCTGAAAATTTGCATTTCCAACAAGTTCCCAGGTGCGGCCGAGTGAGCTTCCGGTTTGGAGACCTTGCTGTGAAAACCACTCACAGATAGAAAAACGTTCCTGAAAGTTGCGTGTTGATTCGAGTTTGGGGTTCTGGCCCGTAGACAGAGCCCTCCGAGCAAGGCAAGCCTTCCAGCAAGGGCGGTGGCCCGGTCAGCACATGTGGGCAGGCGTGGGCTGCTGTGCCGCGGCCGCTGCCTCTCGGGGCACGTGCCCTCGGGAACGGAGAACAAAACACGTACGGTCATGGGTACCAGAGTCCAGGCTTGTACTCCTTTGAGACTGTCCCTGGATCCAGTTCGCTGAAGGGCGGTGCTGCGGGAGGTGTGCCTAGAAAGACAGGCAGGTGCGGTGACACGCCCGCCATTACTTCCACAGTCCAGCCCTGCTCTAGAGGTCAGTGGTCGGCAACAGCTGGAGGGACCTGTGTGTGTCCCTGCTGGGCCATGCAACTAGCAGGGAGGTGGACACCAGCTGGGGAGTGGGAAGGGGCCCAGGGAGAGAGAGAGTACAGCAGGAGGAACATCGAGCACTTCCACATCACAGTTCGGTCCACCCTCTCCTACTTGAGCACATTGTAGGGGGGTGGCAGCTTCCCTCCTGACTCCAGGGGAGTTTCCCTCCGCCCCTTCCCGTACCAAGAGAGCTTCTCAGTCTGGCAATATCAAGTATGAAAATCTGGGGAGTGGGGATGGGGCAGTGTTTTGGCACAACAGGTTAAACTGCCACCTCTGATGCCAGCAGCCAATATAGGCACCAGTTCAAGTCCTGGTTGTTCCACTTCTGACCCAGCTCCCTGCTAATCCACCTGGGAAAGCAGCCAAAGATGGCTCAACGATTTGGGCCCCTGCACTCATGTGGGACACCCGGGTGAAACCCCAGGTTTCTGGCTTCAGATGGGCTCAGCTCTGGTCGTTGTGGCCATTTGGGGAGCGAACCAGCAGATGGGAGACATCTCTCTTCCAAATAAATGAACAAATCTAGTGGAAGGACACAAAGTGTCAGGTATGGGGCTTCATGTTTTAGGGCCTGGCTGCTGCTTTCCAAGGGTCCCTCCCCACAGGGGTCACAGGAGGGGCCGTTGCATGCTCTCCCGCAGCTTGGCCAGGAAGAGCATATTGGGAGGGGCAGCCCAGCCGGGCACTGTGCCCCATGGCTGGGGAGGCCACCTTGGAAGAGACATAGGCAAAATGGGCAGAGGTGGCCTTGTGCCTGTGTGTTTAGGCAAATGTTAGCCCAGACGGCTTGACATGGCCATGGGTCCTGTTTCATCCTGGGGTGCCCCCATGCCTGCTGCCACCCCCTCATCAGGACCCTCTGGGTGCTCACAGCTCCAAACCCACCGGCAACCTGCTCTCCCCTGACCAGAGCGCTGGGCAGAGAGAAGCCAATGGGAGTCCCTGCTAGCGGAGGCTCGGGGTCCCCTCTGTCCGGGCTATAGTGGCAGTGCCAGAGTGGAGACAGGCCTTGCTGGGGGGGCTGTGCTGCCAGGAAGGCCTGGCAGGAAGCACCCCCAGCTGGCCCAGGGGAGAGGGTGTCATGCAACCCTCAGACTAGACCTTCTAGCTGTCCTGACAATGGTGGATGTATCCTTTTTCTTTTTAGCTAACGTGTCAGTCCCTGTCACCCACAAAGCAGTCCCAAATGGAGCTGCTGGCTCCCGGCCCAGCCCCAGCTGTGGAAGTTCTCAGGGGAGTGAACCAGTGGATGGAAGATCTTGGGCTACGCAACACTGGCTCCTTGTTGGGCTCCTCCAGCCAAGGCCAGACTCTCACTCCATTCTGCTGCAAAGGTTTTGTGGGAAATTGGAATGGAAAGTGATTTTTTTCTTTTTAATTGCAAAAAAAAAAAAAAATTGTTGGTAGAGCTGGGATTTGGAGCAGTGGTTCAGCAGGTGCTCGGCCACTGCTGTCTCTTACCAGAGAGCCTGGGTTTGGGTTCTGGGTGCAGTTCCCTGCTGCCGCCCACTGTGGGAGACAGCAGTGAGAGCCCCAGACCTTAGGTCCCTGTCAGCCATGGGGAGATCTGGGTGGAGTCCCTGGCTCCTGGCTTTGGCCTGGTCCAGCCCTGGCTGCTGTAGGCATTTGGAGAGTGAACTAGCAGATAAAGAATTCTCTGTCTCTGGATCACTTTATACCTTTCAGACAAAATTAATGAAAAATCTTAAGCACACAATTCATATGTGTGTAAAAATGCATATTACTGAGAC